AATAAAAAAAATTAAATAATATATTAATATTAATTAGAGATTTAGTAATAATAAGTGATAGAACCTTGTTTTTTTAATACCTTATATAAGTTTATCTACAAAAAAAAATTTATATGTATTGTCTTTAAATAATAGAAATTAACTATCTATGATTTTTACATATAATAGTTAAGGGAATTTACCAAGAGTTTTTAGAATACTTACTAAAGTCTTTATTTAATCTAATTAAAAAAAACTTAATTGCATAATCTTTAAGTTATAAGTAGAATAATTTGAAATTAAAATAATAAATTCATATGATAAGTTAAGATCTTTACAAGATGATGTTATAATTTTTGGAAAAATAATCATAATAATTAATTTTTCTAGTTTTAATATTAGTTTCTAATTTTTTTAATTAGTAAGGTATATACAAATATGGACTGATTTATTTATTTGTTTATTTTATTAGTGTATTTTTATTTTTATTTTTATTTTTATTTTTTTATTATGCATACTCTACTATTTTATCATATAAGAATTAAAATTCTGAAAACTCAGTTTAGTAGTTTTAATTTAATACTTATTAGTTATTTAATAATAAAAATTTAAAAAAAATAAGAAAAAGAAATAGTAATTCAGTATAACTAACTTAAGTTGCTTGAATTGGATATCTTAAAGTTTAAAAGACAATATTAAGTTTAGATTTTAAAAAAGCTTATTTATAAGGATATTTTGAATAAAGAATTACTGTATTTTAAATACCTATATTTCTATTTTTATAAATCATCAAATATTTTCTTTATCTTATTTTATTACGTCCAATTGTTTAATCTTACAAATATCAAAAATAATTAACTTTTTCTTTGAGTGTCAAAAGAGTGTATTGTTTTTTTAGAGTTTTGTTATGATTTATGTCATTGACAATGACATGTTTAAAAGAAGAGTATATCTACATGTTCAAATTGATGTTTTAACATCCACTTATTTAAAGCATTGACAAAATGGTCAAAAAGATTTTACTATATACCAAAGAAAATATTAGAAAATCTGAATATTTTCTAAGAGATGGAGGTGATGGTAAATATCTCTACTACAAAGAGTTAGCAATTTAGGAAGCACCACTATATATGTACAATCTTTGCAATCAAACACTTTTGTAGATTGTAATCTACAACCCACTAAACTTGTGTCTTCAAAGATACTAATGTTCTATTATTCTTTAGTTGTGCATATTTAAGTAATTTTTTTAATCGAATATAGTGCATTCAAAAATAATCATTTTTAATATATATATATATATATATACATATATACACACTATAAATTACAAAAAATAAAAAATTAGAATTTAAGTAAAAATTAGTTGTATAAATTAATAAAATTTTAAATATTAAATGAATTTAAAGTAAAATAGTAATGGATGTGATTTAAAACAATAATAATAATAATAATAATAATACATAACTTATATATTGCATTGAAATGACGTGATTTGTAAATATATAGATTGTATTTAAATATGAAACTAAAATTATTATAAAAAAAAGTCTTAAAATTATAATGATGTATTTTTGAACAAAAAAATCTCTTTTAAAAAAAAGTACATAAATAAGTTGACATTACTAGAATGTATATTTAAGCCTATTTTTGAAGAATTTGCCCATTTTGAAACTTATTTTTCTTTATCTTATTCACTCACATTGTTTAATTATCTTGGCACATTTCAACCTTGTGGATGAATCTCAGTAGTTCACACAAATAAGTATGTGATTTATTTGATCACTGAGAAAAACTCTTGGGACTGATTTGAATTTTGTGGACTTTTCAGAACTAACCAATTAATCAAATGTTGATCAATTATTTCTCATCATTGTCAAATGTAAGTCGTCCAATTCAAACTCCAAAGTTGCATTGGTTGACCCATGTATAATTTCAACATAAACAACAAAACTCCAAAAAATCAGGATTACATTTCTAACTTGTGACCAAATGAACACTTAGGTTTGTATTGCTCTTCTTCATCCAGCACTGCATCAGACGAGTATATCTAATATAGGACATAGATTTAAGATTAAAAGTGACTTTTGGATCTGGGTGCCTCTGTACACTCAATGCTCATCAAACGTCAATGATTTTCACCTACTAGCCAGTTAAGAACTCCCAAATAAAACAACATGCTAAAAAGCTACAGAAATCAACTGTAGGCTGACACCAGTTCTTAAAAAACCTAGTGCAAAGGGAGGGGGGGGGGGGCCTAAAGCAAGTAGGAATCCATCCGCAAGGCTGAGCTGGCACAGACTTTGTGAAGGTGAGAACGCATGCAACAAGGTCATCGCCAGGGAAACTCTCAAGGGGCTCAAAGCGCACCTCTGTTTTATTGTATTCCAAAAAAGGGGAACTGAATCCTTTGTATTTTAGAAAGCGAGCTCCGTCTAGGTGGACACATGCCTCAGCAATACTCCAGATTGTTATCATGAAACCAACTGATATAGCATCCTGACCGTGCTGGCTAGTGATCACTGAGACCTGGCTGCTGCGGTTTATTTAGATTGCTAGCCTAGTCCGCCGGCGTATGGTAATAATACTCTCTACGGTACTCCGGTCGTGATGCACCAGGGCGTGCGATAGGTTAGGGTGGCGTCGTTTCTAGGAGTCAACGTGGCCCAACATGATGCACCCAATCAACCAAAGCAATGCGAGTAAACAGAGAATTGTCACACATGGGTAGGTAGTAATATTTGTCCTGGTTGTAGACGGCTACTCCCTGTGCCTGCGTAGCCCTAGTAGCCCATGCGCATGCTTTCAGGTGTGATTCGGTGAAGCTGCATCGAACTGTCCCACGGATCTGATGGTTCACACCTCTGGTTTCAATCAGCCTTGGTTTACCGCCCTTCGCTTCACTTTCTCTCCTCTTCCTCGGCATGTCACGGCGCATAGGCCATGCTGCTGCTGACTTCGGAGCTTGTCATGACAGATGAGTGCACAGACCGATTCATGGTGTTGTGCCGAGTCCCGCTCTTACACTGCACGTTGGCATTCGATGATAACTTCGAGCAGAATGGGCCGCGTTAAATTTGTGTGACCATCTGGATGAATATAATTAAAACGAAGCAGATTACTCGACGCTAGCCCGTCACGCTAATGTGAGGTGATGAGCCCTGTCTGGTCTTGAGATCAGGGGTTTTAGAATTTATTGAATAATTGGGTGGCTGTGAACATCAGAGTTGTAGATTCGAGTATGTTTCGTCCATCACTGTGCAGAATCTTGTAGGAAATCGTTGATTGTTGGTCGTCCATTGGCTGTGCAATCAGGGCTGGATTAGTCAGTGGGAATGAAATGAATAGACGTTGAACTCATTTTCTTCATTGGTGGGCGGAATAGATTGTCGTTGCTTTGGAGTGAAGGTTTCAGAATGCCGATGAAGCATGTGAGAGTTGGTCCCTCAGTTGTATAGTTCATCAAATGGAAGGTCACATTCGTTAGTGACAAGAATATTTCGTCATGACAGAGCACGTACGAAGCCGAAACATGCATCTTGCAAGATCAATCGGACCAGCCTGTCGTAATAAACATTCACAGTCCCTTCAAGCTGAATCAAATCATCTCCTCTTGATTCCTCCGAAGTCGATGGGCTGAACTTGCTTAGCAATCCATCGAGAGCAGCTGCTTCTAGAACCGGTGACCAGGGGTGTGGAGATCTGACAACGCGATCAGATCCAAAGATCACCTCGAGGCGATGATTGAAGCGACTGCTGTTTCGTGTACGCTATCAATCCGGGAAAAAACATTGATCGGCAAATTTTGCAAACGGGACTACTCGCGTTGATGCTTTAGGTGTCCTTCCACTCTTTTGTCAATTTTGACTTCTTCTTCAGGGTCCTGGAAATCGTCTTCTCACCAATCTCCTCTGCATTGTTTGTGAATTTTCGCTTCTTCCTCGTAGTCATTTACCTCAACGCCGTAGGATTTGCGCAAAAATCAGAAGCTTGAACTGTGCATCGATCCCAATTCCATAGTTGTAGAAAGAACCGACACTAGTTGGTTCAACTATAACGTTAGTCTCCTGTCAATCATCCTATTTGTGATAGATCTTCTGTTTCGTGATCAGCCTATCTTGTACCTGATCACCTTTAACACCAGGGATTCTGTCGCGTAGCCTACAGCTAACTTGAGATGCTGCTGCAACTAGAATATCATAAAGGGGCGTCAGATGAGTTGAATGGAGCTGGGGAAAATCTTCAGGACGTTTGTGGAACAAGGAGAACAGGACATCACGGAAATTTCTGGAAGTTCTACGTTCTTGCTCTCGGAGGTCGAATTTACTATTCTGCCTCCTTGATTTCCCCAAGATCCGTCTAAGGCTGAACGAATTCCCCCCATTTTCCTCCCTGTAGACAGACACGTTGGATAGTAAGTCACAAGTCCAAAATATGTAAAGGTTGGGGGCGTGAAGTACACCCTAATGTCCTGCACAAGGATTCCGCCAAATGTTTTCTCGCAATCATCTTCCTCTAGCCAAACCAGCTCATCTAACGCCCCCTATTAAGAAACTAGCAGCTGTTCCACAACTAACCTTGCCGACGTACATAGCCCCTACGCACTCTTTCCAGAATTTCTTGCATGGGCCCTCCAAACCTTCGTGTCCAATACTTCGTTCAGACAAAAGAGCTGGCAGCAACTTTCCAATCCGCTACACTCGGAAACTTGTGGACGTCATATCAGCGTCAGAGTTCACTCTTTCAGGTAGAAGACAATAATCCATGGGGACGAAGTTACTGGACCCAAATTCTGAAAAGTAAATGGTGTTGATTACACATGAATTATGACAGGGCTATCGATGTGATTTTGGCCTGGTGCGCAGTTGATTATAAAAATAGAAGGGGTTTGACGAGAGAGCTGTCCGGGCCCTACCATCGAGGAAAAATAGGGCAGGGAAGCACCCCACGTTTTCTTCTCCGACACTCCAAGCCTACATGAGCCCATTGATTGTTGCTCGCGCTCTTTTACATTCTTGCCCATGCCGAACGACACCGTGTTGTATCCAAAACCCTCGGAAGCAACTGTTCTCTTTGTCCAATATCCGAAAGTCCGCACTGTGTTTATGCCATTCTTCGATTGAAGCAAGCACTTCTTCAAAGCAATCGTCTTATATTGCTGCTGGTTTAGCTGTTCAGTGAGGGAATCAGTTTCCTCATTCTAATTCGTTCGCAAACCTGCCGGAAGAGTGTTTTGCATGATCTTTCTTGTCCAAGGTAGGAGGTACGTGCGTGCGTGCGTGCGTGCGTGCGCGCGCCCGTCTTAGGTTTCGGTAACCCTCGCTTTCCTTGTGATTTTCATGCCCCAGGAACAATCGAGCAAGCCCTTCTCTTCACGCAGCGTCAGGCGATTCTCCTCTATGTATCCTCATGAAAGCTTTAGTCTTCCTTAGAACCAAGGGCTGGGCATAGTGGGTAGTGAAGTTCCAAGTCACTGCAATCGGTCGGGGATGCTTTCATCTTGATGCTGTGAGCAGACGTAGCAGCATTATCTGTTTCTAGAAACTAAATCTTATCAATCTCAGATAGAGTGCATCCGAGTCTTACATACGTTACCTGCCCCAGATTGACTCGGCTTATGTGAAGAGGAAAACTCTTTCTCGGAGCCAAGAATGAGATGTGTGTTAAGTTTTTAATTAGAGCTACATTTCGAGGATTTTTCCGGTTAGAGGAGTAACCCGTGCAGGAGTTCCAGCTCATTTTCAAAGCCAGGTTAATCCTGGTCGGTGGAATAGCAGGCTGGCGAGTCCAGGGAGCACCGCCCTGCGGCAGCTCGCAGGGAGCGAAGGAGATTCGCGGTCAGTGTCTGGGTGGGGATTAGGATCAGACGTCGACCTGGAAGACAGAGGTAAGCGTCACTCCGAGGAGAGCGACGAAGCACTCCGCGACAGGCAGGAACTTGAGACTTGGACCAGAGAAGCTGCCCGAGATAATCTTGGAAATTGGCACGGCAACGAAAAAGACCAACTAGACAATTGGAGTCATCATTCGGCAGAGCGGAAAAATCCTAGGGGGTTGGAGACACAGAATCTAGATAGTAATGGTGGGGAACCAGGTGCATCAGACTCGACGGCCGGAAGTGCCGATAGAGATTCCGCCGGGGCGTTGGATAACGTTGCCAGGACGTCCTCTCCTGCTGGAAGGGCCCGGAGCGCAGCGGGTACTACTTCTCACGATTACTCAAGTCGTCGAAACGCGGCTGGTGGTGGATACAGTTCCTCAATGAGCACTGGAGCACCCTGCGGCGCGTGCAAATTTCTTCGCCGAAAGTGTGTTCGTGGTTGTATATTTGCTCCCTATTTTGGCGCCGAGCAAGGGGCGGCGAAGTTTGCAGCCGTACACAAGGTGTTTGGCGCCAGTAATGTGGCTAAGCTGTTGTTGCACATTCCAACACCTCGCCGCTGCGATGCAGTGCTTACCATCAGCTACGAAGCGCAGGCGAGACTGTCTGATCCTGTGTACGGGTGCGTCGCCACAATTTTCTCTCTCCAGCAACAGGTGCGTTTATTCCCCTCCTCTTTGCAGTTTTTACGTTTCCAACTGTGATCAACCGTCCCAGACCCCATCCGTAGACATTACTGTTGGTATCAAGGTGTCTCACGTCTGCGATTATATTGCCCTTGACCTTGAATTGCACGAACCACCGTCCATGAGATTTTCACAGGCACTTCTGAACGCTTATCCGGATCGATACTCATTTAAATTCAATTTTCATATAACTTTAAGTCTTTTCAAAATAATGGCTTTCGCAACTGACCGATTTATATCATATTTTTATCGATTTCCAGACGCAGCCAAACTTTACATAGAAAGACTAGTAATTATAGGAGCTTGTTATTCGGAGGTGGACCTTCCGAAAGCCTCAGCAGTAAGTTGTATGAGAAGGGTTTTGTTGACACTGTAAGACCGTGTTTAGCGACTCTTTATTCAAAGTTGACGAGGGCTTAAGAACTTGACTGTGTCCAGATTATTAACACCGTAAAGCGTTGCTATTCTGAACGATATAGTTCACACCCTTATATTTTACGATTTCAGGGTAGTCACATCTGCACATTCCGACGCCGTGGTCATTAACTAATGCCTCTAAACGAGAATAAGCTCTTCGCCTTGTCTGGTCAAAACTTAAATCGGTCTTCGAAGACTTCATTACATTACCATTCTTCTAGTCGCTGCGAGGAAAGTCCCAAGAGGGTTCGATTATTTAAGTGTCGCTCAACCGCTAGGTTTCAGTCGCCGTTTTTTCAGTTACCACATTCAGTGCTCACGATTGAGGCCAACCTAGGCGACAATCTAACTTGTACCCTTTCTGGAAGTCGATGGCATCAAGATTACCGCATCGAAGTTGGTTGGCCAGGTGTTCAGCTTTGCTAGAGATTGAACGATCTATCTATCTAGCTCATGGTCCGGGACTGAATGTTTCACAAATTCGAAAGATTTGTCTTGATCCGTCGTGGCCAAATTATCCCAGAAAAAAATAAAAATAAGAAAATTCGGACCTGTCCTCTCTGTCGCCACGTCTGGACTCTTTCGCATTCTTTCAGAGCTTTGAGAAATAATTCTTTCTTCTGGGGTATACAAACCTTGCCTAGATCGTTCAATTAAGATCGTAGTGTACCTTGGCACGGATTGGACCACTTTTTTTTTGTTGTGCGTTAGTCCTTACTCAGTCAAAAAGCTTAGAACGGTGAAATGTTTAGCTAGTATAGAGGTGAAGACCGTTTATACTGTTTGTGATGTTTCATTTTCAGTGAAATATGTGATACAGGTTGCTCTTGTCCGACAGAATCAGGCAGTATTATATTTTACAATACGATTGAATTAACCAGGAGAGATTATAATAATTTAGAGGGAAGCCACCTAAATGACACTTCAAGAAGTGGTACGGGCCATGAATGACACGCTGAGAGGCCTGCCACCACAATGTGCCATTCAATTCATGACACTTAAGACGGACGGTCTGTCTCATTCTTGAAATGTTATTTGAGCTTCTTGTTCTGCCGCTGGTCCCATTGCAATTAATCGTAGTTATCGAACGGGTTTGATCTTATCACGCTCAAGTACGATTGCAACCAAGCAAATATGGTCTTGTAGTGGGAGGTCAAATATCGAGCAGGGTAAACCACAGAAAATTTAGATACTAAGATACGCCAAAGCAACTAGCGTAACTGGTACCTGCAACATCGCGTACGTAGTTAGCTGATTTATGAGTCTTTGTTGGTTGGTCAGTAGAACAGTACGTTTCGTCTTGCTAAAGCATCTCACCAAATGAAACGAACAGTACTACCGAACAACCTAGGCGCCGAGGAAGTACCGAATCCTAGTTAGTTTGATATTCGTTGCTATTTCAGTAAACAATGCAGCTGTGGATCATTAGTGAATTTTATCTAGTGATATAACATAGACTTATGTCATAGTGAAAGTCAAGCATAGGTGACTCTAGGAGTTCGATTGAGAGCTTGATTTTGTCCCAGTTATCTATTTGTTGCGATAGTACACCCTTTTCTGATCTGTAATGAACCTATTAGATCGAGTCCTCCAGACCAAGTATGTAAGATTGAGTTTATGCGTTGTTTTGCTAGAGAATGCTAAATGTAGTCAGAGATACAAGATCGCAACGAACTACTCATGTTTATATGAAATATATCTCTCCTGACGCATGAAACTACATTCCTGTTTAAACGATGAACAATCCTTTCGAAGTACTTTGGTGAAGTTTTACATGCATGTATCATTCCATTCCGCTTTCCTGTATCTGATACATACAAATCGATGAATCTTCTGTTTGCAATTTAGGTGGCAAGTTTGCAGGCAGAGCTAGCAATGGTGCAAGCTCAACTAGCGGACCGGCACGCGCATCTCCAACAAACACACCACCAACAACGGATGGTGTTCAACCAACCACCGCCTGAGTACATGCAGCAACATCAGCATCTCGGGGTTCAGACGCACCTCTCGCCGACTTCGGGCTTGTCCATGGGCATGTCCGGGGGAACCGGTGCAGTAGGCCCTTATAGTTCACGTGTGAAAGAAGAGGGAAGCTACCAGCTTCACGGCATGCAACACGCAGCTCATCACTACGACATTGGAATGGCCTCAAACAGCTTGGAGCCCATGTCCACAGAGCAGAGTCTTCTGGAGTCCATGCAGAAATCTAGAAGCGGAGGACTGGGGGGCCAACCAGATGAGGGCGAATTGCAAGCTCTCGCTTCTCTTATTCGAAGGAAATAAGGGCAATGATGATTTCTTTAAAGCTCAATGGAAGGACTCGATCGACCCGTTTGAAAGTTTAGATCGTTAAGTGGGATGCACTATAGGAAAGAGACAGCTTGTTCGCAAGAAGGGCTGTTCTGATACTGGGAGCTGTTACCACCACTTAGGACGGATGTATGGCAAACGTCGGAATACAGTTACTTGCTGGAAGAATCAGAACTACTGATCGAGTAAGCAAGCAGGGAGGTGCATTGTGCTCATCTAAATCTGTCTGCGATGGATAAATTGTAAGTGACGATGTTACTCATCGGATGGTAGTCAGGTGGCTGATCATGCACTTGATTATCAACAACGGGCTCGGCAGATCAGCCTTCTTTTAATATGCAGCTATGGAACTCGACGGCGGCATAAGCAAACTCTATAGGATTTCTAGACGGTAAAATAACCCTTTCCGTAGTGGGAATTTGCTGAATGAGATCGTGCTCGAAAAGAAAATAAAACGGTAGAACGTTGGCGGTAATGAGGAAGAACGTCGGTGAAGGTGGCAGTCAAGCTTGAATGCTTTAAGCTGTGTTTTGTTTCACATTGGAACAAAAGTCTGCAATAAGAACACCCGAAGTGCATGCAGTTCATTTTTTGGTTATTCGAGGATTGCCACAAGACGTAGGAATTATTACACTTAGTTTGAGGCAGGCATGCAAATAGGCGAGATCAGGATTTGGTGTGTTACGTAGACGTTCCTTACTCCATACAATACCAGTTGAAGACTGACAAATAGTTTTTTAGGATCGTAAGAATTGACTTGCTAAGTATGTTTCTTTGTCTTTCGAGAGTGATCTGCATTTGAGGGGTTGGCTAGCTCTAGGCAAGGGTTTTAGCTTACTGCCCTCGTAGCCTCCCTTGGACACAACTCCATGCATCAAGTGAGTAAGTGCTCTTTATTTCTCTTCATCAGTCTTTCTTACATGGTTTGTGGTAAGTTGATGACTGATACCAGCTAGAAAATTCTTGAAAGATTATTTCTATTTGCACCCAATTAAGCTTGGACACTTGAAGTTGTCATTTTTTCAGTACACTTTTATTGTATTGTAAATGCTTCAAGTGGCCTAATTTATTGCATCAAATGCGACGAACTTTCTCACTGAAATGAAGCATTTTTTGTTCGTACTCAACCCGATTTCTCGTGGAAGTGTCATTGTGTGCAGTACACGGTATGAAGATTACATGTTATGTGATCGAGTTGTCATCGACCAGTCACATATAGGTGAATCTTTCCTGGGCACTCGTATAATTAACCTTTCAATAATTCATGTTATCAAGTTCCTTAGCTGTCTATTTCCGGACCATTATCGATGAGTTTCAATTCAGAGAGGGTGCAGGAAAAAGAGGTGTTGTCTTTACATCTCCTTATCCTCGATCGTAACGCATATGACTTGTTCTTAAATAGTAAGTGGCAGAAGGATCGGCCCGTAGTACCAGCACCGATCTTTTATGCTGATTGTCGAAAAAGTCTCACATACCTTGCTACGAAACGTAGATGGTTCTAAAGAGAATTGATGCACACACTAGAAACGACGCTCCTCGTGGCCTCGAAGTTTTGGAAATTTAGAAACTGGGGCTTCATATATTATATAAGTCGCTTCTTGTTACCAAATCTTAGGCTTCGTTTATAGAAGAGCTTCGGAACTGAGTTGTATGGCCGCTACACATTGTGACCGAGACATTGTTTGATTAATGAAAGGAGCTCATAGTCTCTGTGAATTTGTTATAATATCGAAAGCATTTCTGTGAGCAAACAGCGTAATTGATGTACTAGAGTTGTACTAATCTTACATTCTCTTCTCAACTTAGTAATATGTCAGAGCTGAAACTAAACCATCTGTACGTATTCTACACACATGAGGAGCTACTGAGCAACAGGACCTTAAAAATCAACTCACGATCTCCGGGTTGTCTCTGCTACATCAGAGTTAGTACTACGTATAATCCAAAAGTGTGTTCGTTTCATTACGATTTGGTATTGATCAGAGTGTATGTTCATCCACTGAAATTTGCCAATGCTTGAAGATGCTTGATGATGTTGAATGAAGCTTTGGCAAGAATATTGATCCATTGATCACATTTGTGGCTGATATAGCAAATACAGTGTTCCTTTGTACCTAATCTCTTTTATAAAATGGTCAAAGATAAAACAAATTTATTTCATTTCTTAAATCTAGGTTATATATAAATCACATGTTTTTCTGATTGTCACTAAAGATTTAGTTCATGTATTTTACAAAACTTTCAGTTCATCAAATTCGTTTTTTTGTTTTTGTACGGCTTCAAGGGAGGTATATGAAGTTATTAAACAATTGTATTTATCAATAGGATTTTGGATACCATTATTTTTAAGTAATTCAAATCATACATCTTTGTTTCAATATATATATCATTGACATGTAATAACAAAAACCTCTAAAACATTTCTATAAATTTTCTCTTATCTTTCAAAACTTCCAATAAAGTCAATTTATTATTTTTAATCTTGTAATCTCTTCGAATCTATTATAACATTGTTATTGTTTTAGTATTTGAGCCAATTTGAAGGACTCCAATGGTGTTACTACAGTATTGTGCTTAGAGCAGCATCTACGAGGTACTCAACAAGTTTTTTTTGACCAAAGTTGGAGATATCCAACCTGTTCCCTCGGCTAACATCCAGTCCTTATTTAAGTCATCATTGATCCAATAACATCCAATCCATGCTGTGGTTAGGATTAAGTAAAAATAGAATTATCCTAAACGTTAGATTACCACAGAAAATAAATATAAATATAAATATATATAATATTTGTACAAAATAAAAGTTACTATCTCTTAAGTTCATATTAGCAACATGGTATGAAAGCAATTAAGATACTATTAGGTTAAAGTTAACCATGCTCTGTTATTTAGTGAGAGGAGAACAAAAGAAAGACATATTCAAAAAGGTTAAAGCTTAAAGACATGGCTAAAAATAGAAAAGATATATCAATTTGTCAATTAGGAGAGTCCAATAAGTAATTAGGAATTCAAAATTATTATATTTGAAGTATCAAGTTGTCTGCAATTTTGAAATAAGAAAATCTATGGGACATTGTAGAAACCAAAAATTCAATAAATTCTTTTTTAGAACCTATAGTAGAAAGAACTTATACAAAGACACAACTAGCATAAGCAAAACATAGAGCTCAATCAAAAATTATTATGCTAGTAGCAAAGATCCTAATTAGAATAGCTTTACAACATTTTAATCTAGTATATGATATATGCTTAGGAGAATGTTCAATGTTAGAGACTAACAATTGATAATGTTTTTAATGAAAAACCTAAATAGAATGTCAATTAAAGAAGAATGAAATATAAGCACTTATTTCATGGCAATCATGGACATAAAGAATCAATTGAAGGCTTTTGGTGAAGTCATTGCCAATAAGACACTAATTAATATTGTCCTTAATGGTTTGCCATGAAGCTACAAAATAGTAATTCAAGACATCTCTTACATGGATTAGCTCATATTTGAAGATGTTATTTATAATCTTTTGACTAAAATCCATTAAATTTTAGTGAGAGAACAAGAACCAAGGCATGAAGAAGTATTCGCAACTCAACCTCAATATATTTACTTTAGGAGTCATGGACAAAACTAATTTGTCTGAGGAGGTGGTTGAAGAAGAAGAAACTTTGGACGAGCTATGTCACAATACTTAAGAGGATCAAGACCTTTTACAACCAATCACTATGTATTAAGAGGCCTATAAAACCACTTGAGCATAAGAGCTTAATTGTCTTTTATTCTACATTCAAGATTTGTACAACATTGCAACTAATGATCATTTTCTTGATACATGTATGAAAGGCCAAACCATTTTGCATATAATCATCTACAAAACCAATATTAATACACAAACAATAGCTATATGGAAGGAAATACTTATGTAAGGTATCATAAAGAAACCATTGAAGCAAACTATATCAATTATCAAAATTGCAACTAGTATGTTGACTCTAGAGCTAATAACCATTTTACAAGAGAAAACTCAAATCTTTAGATAATAGAAGGACAAATGTCCAATAGATTGGTAAAAATAGCAAATAGCAAGCTCTACAAGATTGAAGGTTGTAGCATAAAAAATACAAGCACTTATACTATATTGTTTTGGAACATCTATCAGAAGCTAATATGATGAAAGAATTGCCATTGTTCAATACCATCAAAGAAATATGCAAAAAATGCTTCATCAAATAACAATACCAAGAGTGGTTTTCTATGGCATTACTTCATTGCATTGATAAGGTACTTCAACTTATTCATTTTGATTTAGTTAGACCTATAAAATACCTTCTTTAGGAGGATCAAAGTACTTCATTGTATTTATGGATAATCACTCTTATAAGTTGGATGTAATTTATGTACAATAAAGATGAATTATTTAAGAAGTTTCAAGAATTTAGATTATAAGTAGAAAAAGAAATAAGAAAAAAAAAATTAGAAACTTTAGAATTGACAGAGGATGAGAGTACTTAGCTTGTGAATTTAGTAATTTTTTGACTAAGCATAGAATAAAGAAACAACTCACCATGGCTTACACCCTGCAACAAAATGGAATTGGTTGAAATTAGAAACAAAATAATAGTTGAGAATGCATGATCAATGTTAATAGCGTGTCAATTGCCTAAATACCTCTAGGCTTAGGCTATCTATACAACTAATTTCTTAGTAAACCTAAACTCTACTAGAACCAATTATGGAGTAATTCCAAACCAAATATACTACAAAATTGGATCCCAAGTGAGCTACTTTTGAATCTTTGGTTCAATGGTATCCATGTACATATCAAAAAAAGAGCATTCAAAATTTAAGAAAAAATCTATCAAGTATATATTTGTAAGGTATGACAATAAAAAAAAAAACATACAAAATATTTGATCTATTACTTTGTAAGATCTGTATTAATTGACATATTATATTTGATGAAACATTCATAGGATTTGATGACATCAAAAATTAATCAACTTCTACAAATAAATCAGAGCTATTTCAAGAGAAAAGGACTTTATCTAAAGACTTAATTGACAAATCTAATAGATTGATAGTTGATCAAATCTTCCCTCTTTAAAACTTTGACTATGACAATCAATCTTTGATTCCAATTGCAAGTAGCTCGCTTCTTTTTGCTCAAAGGAACACGCTTACTTGTACACTTTAACCACACATAGAATCCATTATTCAAAGAAGATATTTTATTTAAAGCAAAAAAATCCAATATGAAATATAAAAAGAACTATATATTTGCAATAGAATATACTATAGAATTCAAAATCTATAAAGAGACAATTCAACATAGTAGATGACATGAAGCAATCAAGCAAGAAATAGAATTGATTTGAAAGAAAATTTAAAAACTTGTTGATTTATTAGAAAAAAAAAAAATCCAATGCCCACAAATAGATCTTCAAAACAAAACTAAGATTCAACATGAACATAAAGAAATTAAAAATCCATATAGTCGCTCAAAAATATAAACAAGAAGAAATCATTGACTTCTTTGAAACGTTTGCCCTTGTAGTATAGTGGTCTACAATCAAAAGTATAATAGCTTTAGTGACTAAGAAATAATAGGAACTACAATATTTGGATGTTAAAACAACTTTTTTGAATGAAAAACTCAAAGAAGAGGTTTACATGTAGCTACTTCTAGGTTTTGAAAAACAAGGATGTCTTGACAAAATGTGTAAATTGAAAAGAGTCTTGTATAGCTTGTAGCAAGGACTCCAAGTTTGATATAGCAGAATTGATACAAACTTGCAAAATCAAAAACTTCAAAAAAGCAATTAGGACCCAAATATGTATTTTGCAATGCAAAATGGACAAAAAACTATCATTTTACTCTATGTAGATGATATTACTATTACGGAAAATTATTGTGTAATTAAATTGATATTTTTATAGTCTTCCTACAACAAAGTTAATACCAACTAAGATGAAATAGAAAAAAATGTTGCTCTATATATGTGACGAAGGATTATCAACCACATTGCAAGAGCAAAGAGATGAGCAAAGAAAAAACAAGAATACAAACTTAGAATTAGGACTTAAGAAAAGATAATATAGTAGCAGATAAATAAGAACAAAATACACAAGGTCTACTAGTATCAAATCACTAATCTTAACTTGCAATTGCGCGAGTCCATTGAGTAGAAAGACACACTAGTGCACTATTTAAAAGTAACAACTTGAGCACATGTTGAGAGGAGATATTGTAGAGACTCAATATGCGCCCTTGACCATCTCCTCGTCTAAGTCATCATTGATCCCATAACATCTAATCCTTGCCATAGTTAGGTTAGGTAAAAATAGAGTTATTCTAATTTGGGGTTACTATGGTGGATAATTCAAATACGTATATAACTCTTGTGTGAAATAAAAGTTACTCTTTCTTGAGTTCATATTAGCAACAAAAGTTGCTCACGCCTCTTTTCAATTTCCTCCACTGCCTTATCTGCACCATTTGGGAGGCATCCATCGTGCATGTTTACACAAGAGCAACATTTGCATGTTCTAAAACTATGCTTCAAGTCTCAGCATCAAACAAGAGGATTTGCAGCAACCACAAGATATCCAAGCATTTTTGAGGCGAAACTTTAATCTCTTCCTCTGTAGGTGAACAATATCACCTGTTAACAAGATTTTCAGCAACATAGCAAGTTGTAAAGCATGCTGTTGCATATAGGATTTAACTGAGGATTCCGTTGTAAGCTTTTCGTCACCAGGTCTGAATGCCTCCAGCAAGAATTGACAAAATCCGATTCATGTATTCACATACTTTCAAAAAGGGCGGTTGCGAGCAGCAAGTAGGCAGGCTTGCACAGCCACTTGACACAAGACCACGTATTTGATCGGTTATCAGTTTGGCAAGGTACAGGGGCCTAAGAAATTTAGGTTGACATGGAGACATTTTAATTGTGATGGTATGTAAATAGAAAGACACTGCAGGCAAAGGAATGTGCTAGTCCATAAACAAATCCCAACAATCAATGGATTATATTGATCAGGAAGATCACGCACACAAGAGATCACACGAAATATGAACCAGGTAAAACCTACAGGGATCAAATATTGGTCCTAAAGCTCAATGTGATACATCCAATCATGGGAGGTTCATAGGATAGGATAGGAGGATCAATTTAATGAAAAGCATTAAGCAATTACCTCCCAGTTCATAAAATTGATCCTACTATCCTGTGTGCAGCTTAATTTGTAGAAACTAGCGACAAAAATAAAGCACAAAGCTAATTCAATCGCAGGCATTGCTCAAGAATGCTAACATCACTGTTAGCCATTCTAAAACTGTTGTACAGATGTACTGGGAACCAGGGCGATTGAAAAGGAGTTTATGGCTTCAAATGTATCCAAAAAGATGAGCCAAGCATAGATGTGACAGAATCGATGGAACAAGGTAAACTTCAAACTGTACAGTCCATTTATCTGAAGCACAGAGATTCAACCCATTACAAGTGCACCAACCCAACGGATCCAATCTTACCTCTGCGCGTGATTAACATTCTTGGCATAAATGTTTTTTGCAAACGGAGCAGAAGGGTTAAATTATATTACCGTTTACAAAAGATGGTGATCAGAAATCGGTCCAATCACGCCAGCAGCAGGAGCTCACATCAATCAGGTATGATAACCCGCATCAATTCCGTGTCTTTCACGAAGAATTCTAATACTGGATAAAAATACGAGGCTTTTGTTGCCTTTCTGTACTTACAAACCTGCCGAAGGGTATTACTTGGATAACTAATTACTCTCTTCCGATGGTTGTGTAATACCGTGTTTCAACAGCAGCTTATTCAGGTTCTCAGGACTACAAACCTGGTATTGAAACACGCCATCCGGACTCAAACTGATCTCCGCAAGCTCCAATTTTTCGGCTGACAGTGACGTGCTGTCCATCGTCTTGCTCAACACCTTCAGGGCCAATTGCACCGCTTGCTCCCTCGTCATATCGTCCTTGTAATCCTGCTTTAACATCGACTGGGCCGCTTGATTGTTCGCTCCAATGGCACCGGCCTTCCACCCTCCGTAGTTCCCACTAGGGTCTGACATATACAACTGAAAACCAAAGTTTTTGTCGTACCCTGCAAATAAAAACGATACACCGAACGGACGAAGCCCGCCGAACTGAGTGTAACCCTGTTTCGTGTCACACAAAGACTGTACCAACTGCTCCACGGGCATCGGCTCTTGGTAAGCAAGTGTGTATCGCTGCGCAGACAACCGGGCGGTATTAATGAGGATGTTCGCATCGGCCATGATGCCCGCAACAGCGCACGCGACATGATCGTCGATCTTGTACATTTTCTCCGTAGATTTCAACGTCGCCAGAAGCTTAGACGTGACACGCTTCTCAGCTGCCAGCACTACTCCATCCTTCGCTAAAACTCCAATCGCTGCACCCGCGTTGCTGATAGCCTCCATAGCGTATTCCACCTGGTACAGCCGACCCTCCGGAGAGAAAATAGTCGTCCGGCTATCATACCGGCGAGACATTCCTTCTCCTCTGCAAAGAAACCTAAATTTCCAGAGAGTCCACAATCACGTATAAAATATGCACAAAAACGCTCAACAAAGTTCTCCACAGCCTCAGCGCAGGGGTTCCAATCGCTCAAACTTTGCCGCGCAAATCAATAGCAGCTTCCACCAGAAACTACGGGATGTTAAAGTGCAAGAAGCATCTGAAGGAAAACGAAATCGAGCTTGCCCACGACGAAACAACGCAAAATCAAATGCCCTAGTGGTGCCGGTGTGGCATGAGAGCGCGCGCTCGGCTCTTGTTGTCGACGTCCCCCCCCCCCGTGGATTCATCCGTTTGACTATTTTCATCCATAAAAATGTTTTGGATGTTTTTAGTTCATCCAAAATGGCGGCTCAACGTGGCTAGCGTTGTCTATGGGTAGAAAGTGAGTCACTTTGTTTGTGCAGTATTGCATCCACTTCCATTCAACGATGTTCATTAAAGGAACAAATCTCATTCAACTGATTTGTTTGTTGTTCGTGATGTCAAATTCTATTTAACATTTTGAGTTTTTTTCAGATATTATTGTACTATTTCAAAACCTACTCAAGCCTTTTAATAACTTGTTTGGATTCTTTTCAATTTATTTCACAATTTTTTTAAAAGCTTCTTCAAACTTTCAAAAGCTTTCTTTGAAGATCGGTATCTCAAAACTTAAAGCATCATTAATTTATTTATATATTTTTCTACTATAAAAATCCTGAAGTGAAAGTGGTAGATTGCAAAGTCTTGGGAGCATGAGCTAAAATAGGATGGTATTACAACATAATAGAGTAAGATGATGGGTAGATTTTACAATGGTGCCTGCATGGTATTTTTGTAAAAGATTATTAGAGCTAAAAATTTTGTGGTTGTGTATTAGGATTAGTGTCTAAATTTTTAGTACAACCTAGGACTAAGAATTTTCTAAATTGTAATTTAGGATCAAAATTAAAATAGAAAAATTAAGTTATATGCAAATTGTATATGATTATTATTTAATAATAATGTAGAAAATTTAATATTAATTTAAGTTATACAAATATATAAATTTTAAGACAATAATAGAGATACATAGTAAAAAGAAACTTTAATAATAATAATAACAATAATAAACTATGTATTTTAATTAAAAATGAACTATCTACATCCAATTACAAAAAATACCATGCAATGTAATTCTATCTAAATTTGCAATAATATATTTAAGATTTACAATGCAAGATTAAGAATACAAAAATTGTATAAATAAAGTTGTAGTCAAGGCAAAGATAAATGTATTTCCTATACATAAAATCAACATTTATTTTATACATGAAAGACCTTTTTTTTTTCTTTATCTTTCAAAAAAATATTATCAATTTTTATTAATGTTAAGTTATTAATTGCAAAAAAATATTAAAATTTAAAAAAAATCTCAATTGAAGATTGATTTAGAAGAGTCATTAAAGATTGATTATAACATTTCTAAAGGTAGCTAATTAAATTATAGGTAGCAATAGACAAATAATAGTTATATATTCAAATAATGATAATTTTTTAAAATCTAAATACTATCTTGTATTAGAATTAAGAGAGAATAGATCATTATAGCACATTTTATCATTTAAATTTTTTAAAAATAATTAAAATTAAAATTAATTTATACTTTTATAAAATAAGTAAATTCAAAGATTTAGACAAATTGGTAGTAGTATATACAGAGAAGAATTTAATATAGTGAATCAGTTAAAGATAGAAAAAATATCATACATGTCCCTCAAATTTGCTGAAATATCAAGATATCAATAATATCCTTCTATTCTTGATAATAAAAAATCTACTCTTCAATTTTGTAATAATTGCAAATCTACTCTTCAACTTGATAAGCTATCTATTTCCAATTTATTAGCTTGAATTGGGGCCCAACCAAGGCACTTTTTGTCAATTTTTGGGCCTCATGTGAAATAGATGAAAGTGGTCATAAGCTACTACTATGACTCTGTCTTGAGCTTTGCACATCACTTACAAACCCACCTTGTGTAACTCAGCTTGGTCTTACAATCCTTGCTTTGGTTTGCTAAGCCAATTTTCTTCACTCATGTCTACACATCTCAATTGCATTTCTTGCTTCAAGCAGATGAAGTAATTCATTTTTCTTTATATACACTCCTTGCAATATCACGATTGTTTTACAAAAATTCATTTAGCATTCTCATGCCATGCATAATTAAACCATTTGAATACAATGTAATTTATTTTTTATTATTTAATTTTTTTTATTGTAATAGGCAAACACTATAAAAAGCATATTTCTGAGTGTTAGATCCAACACACATTGCATGGTTTGTAGGAGAAAAAGCAAGGATAGAAGATTAAAGAACAATTCTTTTAATCTTTAAGTAGAGTGAAAAAAGACATTCTAACAACAGTTACTTATGAAACTCTCCCAACTACAACAAAGTAGATATAAAGTGATAGGGATTTATTTAAAACACCTCATTACAATTCTTGTAAATAACAAGATTTTTAACATGTTCAAATTTTTATATTATATGGTTGTATGTAATATTTAGTATAACATATATCTTAAAATTAATACTAGATATTTTTGAAAAAAACTACCAAAAAGTCTTGAAAGGAGATTATTTTTTGGATCTAAATGGCATTCTTTATATTCAAGTAAACAAATCCATTTATTACTTGTGTAGAGATTCTTTATTCTTTTGATCACATAATTTGGCAATATTGTCAAACAAATTAAAAAGGTGGTCAATTACTAATTGAATATATTAATTAAGATATTTTTATTTATTTTTAATTTTAAAAAACCTCTAAAGATTTTTCAGTCAAAATAGAGTTTAAATATTTATAGTGATGGAAAAAATTTATACATGAATAAGCATTATGTTCAAATAATCCATATGATAAGTGAAAGTTTAAGAACATACCTGATTTATCACAATCAATCTTAGAATTTTTATAGTGGCAAGTTTTTTTTTAAAAAATTAGTGAATAGAATATGAACATAAAAATCTTTTGCAACTCTCACAGAAACAAAAATTGTATTATAATTGTGTATTTCAAAGACATCAAATTTATTCTCAAATGAGGATAGTAGAATTAGAAAATTTTTTAGAAAACAATAATTGCACTAGCATTTATGATAAAATAAAATTTTAATAATTGAAGAAACTTAGTCATACTATTATATATGTTTTTATTAGAAAATATAAACCTATCTGCAAGAAGACTTAAGATAATTTTCTAATGTAAAAATATTATGAATGATTTTACCTTTAAAACTAAGGCTTAAAATCAGACTACAAGTTTAACATAGAATCAAAAATTTGATTTGGCTTAGAAAGAGCTTTTGTAGAAGGCTACCAATACTACAAAAATAAGAAACAAGTTGATAACAAGAAGCTACACAATAGTGATTCCATTATATCATAAAGGTTTAAAGAACCCATTATTATTGTAAAAGAAACTATTAAGTTAGTACTCTAATTTAAAATAATAGAGACATGTCCTTTAACATACAATACCAAAGTTCTATTTAAATTTATTACAAAATCTTACAAGAAACTTAGAAAATTAGAAGATATCAAAGTTAATAGTTATATATAGCTATATATGATACAATTAATAAATTTAATAGATATTAGTACATATTTTAAGAAATCTAAATACATCCAAATAAAATTCTTACCTAAATTTTTAAAGCACTTCTATAAATAAGAAAAAATTTTGACTAGTTATTCTTCACTATTATAAACTTAAAGAAATAAATCACAACTATTTTCATCATATTTTCAAAAGTAGTGATGCAATATAAATGTTTTGTTATGTAATAAGTTTTTTTCAAATATATTAATTTAAGATAGTAAATAAAATTATTTAAAGAGAAAATTAAAAATATTTTTATTGTTTTGTGTATAATATAAAGCGGTTATAAAACTAGTGATTGTGGTTATGTGAATGATAAAAAAATTAAATAAAATAATTTGAAAAGAAATAATAAAGAAAGAGATTAAAAAAAAAAAATCAAACTTCACAATATAAAAAAAATCTTAGAAAGGTGTCAAATTTTAAGATATTAAGGTATCTTTTAAAATATCAACTTGTCTTATAAAATTAGACAAGAAATGCCACAACCAAGGTGGTTATCCCTCTTGTTATCCAATTCTTCAAAGAGAGTTTGATTTGTCTTGGTGTTTGGAGTTGTTTTAGAGAAAAAATATTATCAATATGTAAGTATTTATATTGTGGAATCATGTGTGGAATTTCAGATATTTAATATGATTATATTTAGGATTCATGCAACCAAGAAGGTATGTAAAAAGTGTGATTGTACTAAGGTTGTAGAAGAGTATCAAATTTTGTATATGAAATGGAGTATGTATGCATAAATTAGAAATAAACAATTGAAGCAACATTTTGAGCTATTAGAAAGCCAACTAATCAAGGCAAGATTATTACAATAAATATATCAAATAAGTTGTAAGAGTCTAAGAGCATAAATTAAGAAGGAACAATCAAAATCAACAAAAAGAATGTACAAAAGACACATTGAGATAAATACAAGATTATTTTATTAGATGAACAACAAAAATGGTGGATGTATAGAGGGATTGATGAGTAAAGAGGGATACAATTGCGTAGAAATAGGCCAAAATATTAATCATTATTTAAAAAAAAAAAAAAAATGCAATTTGTAACAGCAAACAAAAAAAATGTATAAGCACATTCAAAACTATTATAGGAGCAAAAATAACAAGTGTAGAGATTGTGTGTAGTATACTTATTTTATGCAACAAGCTAATATTATATAGTAAAGATTTTTGATTTTATGCAAAGAAATTAAGAAAAAAAGAAAAAATATTGCAATAAAGAGTAATTAGAAAAGAATGTGTCACATGAACTTTATCATAGCAAGTATTGTTGTAGTTGCTTTTGTTGATTGATCAATGCAAGGGGCTTTATGTCATATTATATTATAAAGAAAAATATATATAATCTTTGTTGAATAGTACATAACTTTGTCAAGATTATACAAATACAAGGTTATATGCAAATACAAGATTTAGTCAAAACAAAGAATTAATTAAAGAAAGTAAAAAAACAATATAATCTTACAAGCAATCAAGTTAGACATCTTTCAATCAAAAGATAAAGATTATGAAGCAAGCTTACATATAAAATATTTTTATATTATTCGATATTCTATCAAATTCTTAGATCTTTAAAAGATATTATTTTAACTTAGGAATTTACATCTTAAATAATTGTGTATCTATTCTCTACCATTGAGTGAGAGTAAACACATCTTGGTTATATTTTGGACTATCTATTTAAATTTTTTTTGTTGTTATAGTTGTTCATTAGATTTCTATTATTATAAATAACAAGAATATGATTTATTTCTTTGTTTCTTTTAATTTTTTGTTAAAGAATCAAAAAGGGTGTCTTTAAATAGCATTTTCAAATGAAAACTTTAAAATTCTAGAATAAAATAAGTAATTGCAAAAAATGTGACAATCAAGCTATTACATATATATATATATATATATATATATATACCATTTATAATATTTTCAGATTTGTTGTGGAGACACATTTGTCTTCACCTAAAAGAATTACCCCTTTCTTTTGCAGAGGAAGTTTCTCCATCATCATTTCAAAATGTTGAATAGAGTTCAAATGGGATTCTTTTGAGATTTGTTGTATGGATGAAAATGTCATGCATTTCACACTCGGGATTGACATGAACAAGTGATTTGGTTCCTGTGAAGCAGTGCAAAACAGCATGACATTATTAGATGAATAATGCTGTGAAACAGTGAGGTCACCTACTGCGATGGTTTTAGGTGACATTGCTGCTGAGGCTACACTGATCTGTTTCAAAAGGTCATCGTGAAGCTAGCCTACAGCTCAGCATCAAGCATCTGCGACTAAATGAATGATGCAGTCCAGCTTGTGTATCTGAGATGTAGATGGCAGAAGAAAAATGTGCCCAAGGATCTCATGAATAAGCTACTTCTATGGACAATACCATTAACTATGAGAGCAACAACGAGATTCAATTATACCACTTTACTGCAACTAGGCCTGCTTGTGCAAGCACCATTTTGAAATAATTGAACAGAAATAGTTAATATTGTAGCAAACTAGACTAACTTGAATCTACAGTTCAACGAATAGAAAGTGAAGCTGCATATCATTTCAAGTCGAGGCTGTCTAGAAGCTCGTACTAACCCTGGCACACTCTGTACACTCTACAATCTAAAATAAATGGTAGAAATCTGTTATATAGAAGCAGCTGAATTACGGGGCTGCTGTGTAAATGACGAAGGGTCAACGTTGCTGGTCAAATCTTGCCTCAACCTCGTAACCAAAGGCCTTCCACAGTGAGGGAAGGACTAAAGGCATGATAAACGAATCTGACGTGAAGGACCAAAGCCTCTTTACGGGTCAAGCCCAGTGATATAGTAGCCTGAATGACCCCTAAATAGAGATAAGGTAGTTCGGATACTCGGGAATATGACTATGCTTACCAAGGCAGTAGTGTGTTAGAGACCCAGAAAGGCGTGATAAACGAATCTGGAAAGAACTGCTAGTGTACAAAACTGGATGGTTATTGCTGTCAATCCAAGTCCTCGTAAGCTGATGGGGTATCGGTGACATCTGCCTCGCTCTGTGACGGTGTTGCCTCTGCAGAATGTGTTGTATTGTCTGCTAAATGGCCTGATAATGATCAAGAAATCTGTCAGATAAGTGCATTTTCACTCTTCGCAATTGCGAGTTTGTTGAAAGAGAGCCATGTAAAGATCTTGAAAAAATCGAAGACAAAGTTCTGTACAGGGATCGTTCTTCTGCCTATCAAGCATCAAAAATAAAGCCAACGACGCAGCAGAAATGAAAAAAAGATGTATAGTCAATGAAAGGCTGACCTCTTGGAAGACGGTTAACTTTGTGATGTTTACGTGCTTGTAGTCGCAGCAGTTTTTTGGCCTTCGTGATACTAGTAAGACTTGCTCGTGGGGACCTTACTGAATTCCGGTCTTCGTCACTAGCAGAGCTGCGTTGTTCAAAATCCAGGTCTTCAGGACCTCTCCTTGTGCGTAGTACCAAAGCTTTAGCTTTTTTTCTTTGTGAATTAAATAGACCGCGAATGGATGATACAAATCCTTCGCCTGCTCGATCACTGTTTCTTCGTGGTCTTAGCGAGAACATTTCGGTTCCCTCATGACTTCCTGAGCTGTCGTCGGAGCCAACATCGAAGTCCTCATCTATAGGCCCTGGTTGCGCGGGTAACTTATCCTTGAACTTCTTGCCCTGTCGTGAAACAAGAAAGTGAGTGCTACAGAATGTATGTTGAATAAAACTCCCATTCTGAAATTCATTCATCATTGAATTCTTAAATTCAGAGCATCAAATTTAGCCACAACAATCGAACAACCTTCTCTAAATTCGCTTTTCTTGGAGAGAATAATTGAGCAAGTATCAAAGACGATGCTCTTGTCGCTGAACCACAATATAAGTAAGTTTCTACAATGCAGACCATCACTGACTCCATGGAAACATCAAAGGGAGACAAGTGTTGCTATCTTGTTCTAGTGTGTATCCCACATACCTGCATGCCAGTTACGGATTTGAGAACGCTCCAGATAATATGCTTTTTAACCTTGGAGAAAAGACGACGCCAACTGCCCGTAAGCTCTAATAGCAAGAAAGTATCCATAAGAAGGCGAAGGTCACTAACAGCAAACCTGGATCCTTCATATGTTACCAATAGCTCTACCTGCACAATACATATGTCACCAGATACAAATTACACTCATGGACTTCACAAAAGCTGCAATGACGCAAAACCATATTCCAATAAAAAAATGGCAACACAGGAAAAATTTATATATAAATAAAATAATAATATAATACCAGCGACAGCCTGGGGAATGATTGGTAACAAAACGAGAATTATGAAGGGTTTACGAAGCCAATGAACTCGATCGTACTATTCTGAAAATTGAGGCTAGGTAACGATTACAGCACGATCTGCGCACAAAAACAGTGAACACGAAAACAGTGCGGTTATTCTTACATAATCAGTGTAAAAGAGTCACTTACTTGGCTAATCTTGATATTGTGGAACTCCATCATACTGGTCTTTTTCTTAATTTCCTTCCTCTCCTCCACAACTACAGACTTTCGATCTGTTTTGCTTATCTTTCGATCTCTGTTTCTTACAGAACCACTGTTGTCACTGGTTGTAGGGATATTCGATGACGTTCCTCCTGCAGTGAGCACATCCTGACGCGAGGTAGTAGACACGGTTGTGCGTACTGAAGACCCATGTTTACTAGTCTTAATTATGACCTCCTCGCTCATCGTTTCAACTTCAGTTTCTTCAAGTCGATCCAAGGATACGCACTGCCCCTGATCAATGCTGACAGCAGCATTCACCTTTCGTGATTTCTGCGATGCAGTGAGCTGTATTAGTGAAACCAAAGCACAAAAAAAAAAAAAGACCCTCAAAACAGAACATGGAACTAGTCATAATATTATTATAATAATAATGGGGATTATACCGACAACATATTTCATATACATTTACAAGTTTTCATAAAATTCTTTAGGTTCAGATTTACACTTCATCAAAACCAGACAGCTCTCCGGCAATATGAGTGTCCTCGTCCATTGAACTATCGTTTTGTGGGATGCTTGAAGGCCGAACATTGATTAACTGGATTGATGAGCTCAAATCATTAAAAAAATCAAAATCAAAATCAAATAATTGCGGCCTCTAGATACGCACGGTTCCTGAACTAGTTAGTAGGCGTGGGATTCATTGGAAAATTATCGTTTATATATTAGTTGCTTCTGGAATGCAACCAGTTAAATGCATCATCAGAATAGAAGGGAATAGAAACAGTCGGCCGCATTGATTGAACAGGCTTTAAGAACACCTTTTCTGAGTGTGTGTATGTATGTATGTATGTATGTATGTATTTGAGTCCATTAAATCTTCTAAAAACGACAGTAAGCGGAGGGACATGTCATTGAACCTAAAAGAATGATAAAGTACCTCCAGGGCATTAGCAGGAACCGAAAAGTCCCCAGCATGTTGTGTATCAGGTGGAAGTCCAGCTGGCGGGGCAAGAGATAAAGTCGGACCTGACAGACCGCTGCGAGAAGAATTGATACCGGAATCCCAACTGCTACGGAGTTCCAGTGGCGTGCTGCCTCGTGTTCTCCCTCGCTTCTGCTGTACAGCAGTTGATACTTTCCACACCTCCTGAGAAGTCTGCATAACAAATTATGAAAAATTTCAATTTTGAATCAAGGACAGAAACGAGCGCACAAAAAAAATACCCATGCAGACAAAAAGAGACGTGTTCACATATTGAACAATTCTGCGTGTCGTCAATTTTTCCTGTGAAGTAATCCAATTAACGATCCTGGAAAGATTCATAAATTTGTTTGTACATTGGTGCTCCCTAATTTCCTAATTGACTGTGTAACATGATTTTACAGTAATCATGAATAAACATGGAGGTGAGGAAAATCAAGCACCACAAAATCTTTGGCAGATATGTCAGTCAACAGTGCAGCCAAGGGTTTCATGGGTAGAAAGATTTAGAAAGAACCAGTTTCTAGCGGGGGCAACTGAAAAAATTCAACATGAGCTCCAACAAATTAAAAAATTCAAAGTTAAAAAATCTCACGGTTAGAAAGTTAAGGGGTCAAGCAGACAATAACCTGACGCTTCACATCTTGCTCATCCCCTGGGAAAAGATAATCCCACAACTTTCTGTACATGGTCTCCGTCAGATAAATTCGTAGAGGATATATACTGACCTGTAAGGAAATTCGGGAAATTAGAAACAAATCCAAATTCAGAATCATAATACATTCTACACTTCAGTCAAAAGAATTATGGAACTTCAATGATCGGTTGTGCAACTTACTTCAAAACATTCCAGCGGGGATCTTCCATCCTTTGGTGCACTTTGTTTTGCATCAACGCGAAGCATTGAATTTCTATAAATATAAACAAATAAAGAAATCAATAGAGTGATAATATATCGGCATACGCTAGGGCAGGATCTCAATAAATCAACATCTAACAGTGGCGGGTTGCCATTAACACAGATCAGAAGAAAAATGAATGAACACAATAAAATCGAAGAGTACCAGTCACGATTGACGAAGAAGAAGAAGAAGAAGAATTGATAATCAAACAATGGCAGGAGGGTCAACCTTCCCCATTCTTTGGGAGGATTCCAAGCAGCAAGAACTGTATTTAACTTTGCACTGGGCAAATTATTTTTCACCACAAAGGATTTCACCGTGAATTTTGCTACTCCAACGTCTTTAAAATCTCGGTCAACATTCAACGTCTGCAGATCAAATCCACAGCATGAATAAGATCAACAAACTAAGTCCGCAACAGAGATCTAACGTGATGAAATGCATTGGTTACATGTAACTGGGTCATAGATGGGGTTGACGCTCGTTTTAGTTATTTAAAAAGAAATAAAGAATTAAGCACAGTAACTCGAGGTCCTGTAGCAGCCATGTTGATACTTGCTTCGTTGAATTAATGAGCTGTGATAAGCATGATTTCCGTCTAATTCGGAACCATTGACATATCATTACAGCTAAAAAGAGAGAAAACATACCATGCTATTTATTTCTGCCTCAGCAAAAATATCACCATCACAAAGCATGCTCCAGACGAGTTTTTCGAAAACCCAAGAGATACGCATAGCTGCTGAGGGAGTCTTGTTCTTTTCTTTCACCATTAATTGTTGCTGTGCAGCTCCCTGCAGAGCTTTTCGCAGAGCTTTTCGTTCACCTCTTAACTTATCCTTTCTTACAATAAGCTCAGCCTGCAATCTAAGAGCCTGGTACCAAAAAGGACGAAAACATTTTCAGCTGAATTCAACGACCTAGGAATAAAAAAAGCCATTTTCCGCCATCACTAAGAGATGAGGTCACCTAAAAGCCGTGCATGAAGAGGAAAATTTCATGCATGAGAAACAGTCGATCATAAAGAGTTTAATCTTCAATATATCTTCGGATCCTACTTGTATTTAATCCTAAAATCCAACTTACCAAGGCAGATCTAGGACACGAAAGCATCCAGAGACCTTCATCATCTGATGTGGACGAAGTGAAGGAACGAAAGTCGCCACTCAAATCATTGAGACCAATTGTGCGAAGATCTCGAAAGAGGAGACGGAAATCCCGTTGGGCCTGCTCCAACCTTATGCGTGCCAGTTCCACTTCTTCAATCCCATCTGGAACCACCTCATCCGCCTCTTCTTCTTCTCCTCCTTCTTGATAAAGTCTGTTCTTTCTTGGTCTGCACCAAAGCACCGAAAGCCAATAAGTTGTTTTATCTTCTGTACACAAAAGGAAACCTCGAAACCCAGATGATCGTTACAGAGTATGTAAACATTGACAAACAAATGGTCACTATAGACTAAATGAACGTACTTGGGAAGTCTAGCTAGAAGCAGATTGCTGATGACAGCCACCATGATCTGAAATTGTCGAGATGTCATGGTTGCAGTAATATTTGGCGAATTGAATGAGAGATCCTTTAAAGGCTTCACCTGCACAGAAGGAAAATCAAGTACACTCTTCACCTTAGACGAATCTCTTACGCAGAAAATTCCTGCGCTCAAAGATACTTTCGTTGAATACTAGTGAGAGTATATACTCCTCGGAGAAGAAGCCAGATGAGGGCACCAAAGTTAGGGAATTAATAAAAACTGATCAACGTACACAAGAAATGACCTAATCAAAGAATTAGCAGCCAAACAGTAGAAGGGATGACATCTTGCAGCTTAACAGAAGACAAAAAGATTATTACGAACTGACTAACTGTAACAAGTCTTTGGATACTCCACTACAAAAAATCAAGATAACATGTGCACGCATGTTATGAGCATGGGGAAAAGTACAACGACCTTGCTATCTGTGGTGCCACCTTTCTGGCGAGTATACTGAAAGTACATTGTACAGGGCATGAAAACCTGCTCAAGGAGGGTTCCAGTTCGCTTTATCTTGGGAGCACCGGTTGTAATTCTAGGCAACCACTGTATTCCAGCACCAGGATCCACGTCTGTGGGGGCTATGTGAGCCTGAACATGCTCCAAGATGACCGAAAGCTCCCGTCGTTTCCATGCTATTATAGGAGATCCACCTGATTGTGTAGACACTCTACCTGAGCCCATATGCACTAATGCCTCACCACCCAGTAACACAATAGAGGCAATAGAGCGGGCTAGCACACGTCCACTCGCTGCAGCTAATAATAAACGTCCCTGCATATGCGTAATGTGCCGATGAGAAATAAAGCTTGTTAGGAAAGAAAATGGACAACCCATTCTGCGTTGAGTCGAGAGATACTACTTCTTAATGCTGAAACAAGTCACTGAGGAACACGGCATACTGGCATATCCAATCAAAGAAGCTAGATGATACAGAAGAAGGGCTTAGAAATAGAAATAATTTAACCAGAAAGCGCTCGACTTGCAAAAAACAACAGAGTTGAAATTCAAAGATAAACGACGTAGGAGAGGTACAGACGTTTGCTTCTTCCGAGTCAAGGTTGAACTGAGGCTGAACAACGTTAACCATAAAGTGCATGGTGCCTTCACCATCCTCTTCAACATCCTCTGGCAACTTTTCTAAGGCTGCAGATATCTCCCACCATTTGGTCATTAGTATCCTATCTCTAACGTTCAACTTATGTCAAAAGTAAACCTGCAAGACGTATGTTGAGCATCCCAAACATTGACAGATTATAGCCCATCCCAAAACTGTCTCTGCAAGAGCATACGTACCACTTGCGCTAGCTGTTGGGCTCTCTCCCTTGAGAGCAGCAGTAGGATGTGACAAGAAGGATCGAGAAGGAGAAGAAGGGACGCTTGTGGAACCTTTTTGAGCATCAACACGTTCACACTCAGCTTTCTCTATCTTCTGTTGTTCCTCCATCCTTCTACGTTGGGCATATTGCCTAGATGGTGAAAGCTTAGGGCTCTCGAAAGCATGACCTAGTTCTCCCACCCATGCCCACACAGCATCCCTATTTGCAATAGTCCAGAGAAGCTTGAGTCCGTACAGAGAAACGCGTAGACAGTTATCCGCTAGTACAACACTAAATCCATCATCATCACTAGGTAAGTCACTTCCACTTCCATGCTCCACAGATGTATGTCGCATTGCTTTCACACGAAGATGTCGTCTTGCTGCTTCTTGCCAGAAGGAAAGGCGAGCTGAGTCCGCCTTTGGAGCTTGTTTACGAATTGTAAAACAATCAGTACTCAGCAGGAACCCAAGATCACTGCTGGTAGCCGGATTAGGAGAGGCTTCATTCACATTGCCTTCCGGAAGCCCAAGAAGCTGTTTGACTTTATCAGACTTTTGCAACTCTTCAACACCAACAGAATCATCCGCAGGAGCAGGAGAGGAACGTTGGTGCAGCTCTGCTATCATCACGTTTATATCCAAACCTTGATATACTAGTTCCAAAGGGTCCCGCACAGAGTTTATAGTAAACTGGCCACGGCCTCGACTGTAACACATCTCGTATTTGAGCTTCTGCATGAGGAAGGTCAAGCCTTTTGCAGGATCATCCTTCATTAGTGAGTAATGTTTTATGCAGGTTGGAGATGAATCTACTCTCAACATAAATTCGGTAATAACCTTGTCAAGGGAAAGATTTCCAGAACGAGGGATACGAGGAGTATTAAATCGGTAGAATCTAGCAAAAGATCGCAACTTGTGAGGGGGCAAGTAGACAAGATTCCACCACTTGAAGATCCAACTCAAGTCATGAGCAGCTAAGTTCACGGTTGGAACCAGATCTGCAGAATTATCTAGCTTATCATGAACAGAGGGTGATCCGGATCCTCGTAGCAGACGCCAAATGAAGTTCTTCGGTTGGGGTTTAGAGCTTTTATGCTCTCCACCCAAATTATTCACTTCTTCGTTACTCTCCTCGGAATCCGATTTGAAGACAAAATTCAGCCACAAAGATAAAGAAGTTGAGCGAAATGGATCGTACACTAGATCACGCAACTTCATCTCATTCGGAAGTGCGTGCAAATAATGGTTAAGTGGAGTTCCCGATTCACAATCCCAGTCCATGGTAATCTCTAACTGGAAGACTGGAGTACTAAGAAATACAGGTTGTTCTTGATCGAGGATTGACGAGTCTCCTTGGAAACCTTGCGTTAACGCCTCCAAGGTGGTAACAAGGAGACCGAAATCCTTTCCATTGAACACGATGCACCCTTCTGATTGCTTGATTTCCATAGTTTTAGAAACTAAACGCATATGATTGTTCTCCTCGTACGGATCTGTCGTCGCTGGAACCGTCAATTCAAAATTTGTAGCATTGATACTGTTTATTCCGTGTATGTAATAACGCATATCATCCCACCAAGGTAGACTACGTTCCTTCTTCACAGGTGGAGGAGGCAAGGGAATTTGCTCATACCACTCGTGCCTGTAGACGCTAATGTCGGTTCTTCGGAGAGCCACTGAGAAGGCCCAGCTTACATCCGCAATGGCTGGTTCATGACCAACGCCATAGCAAACTTTTGCATTTTCAAGTTCGATTGGGAGTTCTGAATAAAATTTCATAGCGGGGGTTGAGCCACTTATAGAACGATTCACGCTCACTCGCCGCCACCGTCCAAGGTATACATCTTGCAGCATTTGTGGAGGAAACACCGTAGCCTGCAATGAGAAACGCCCCCAAAAATGGAAATTATTCTGTGATTGGAATTCTATAAGACACAAGGATAACAACTTGATGAAAACAGAATAGACCAAAATCTGCATGGCTACACACCCATTCCAATTTTCTGAATTCAGAAATGCATGCAATTTGTGTCGAAAGGCAGGTATAACAATGTACAATTCAAAAATGTATCATAGCCTATTCAAAATCTCGTTCTGTGTTGTTATTGCATCAAGACTAGAAAAACTTCAAAACCAATTTTGTAATGAACTTGAAAAGGAGATTGAATACCTGTTGTGCAAGAACCACCACCCCCTCACATTGTCCACGATCAGCAGATAATAAAGGAAGCGTGTAGTCACGAATGCGAACTACGAGGTTTGTTAGGTTCACTCCTAGCTTTCGGCCCATAACCCTTGAGAAGGGAATCTGAGCGACAGGCTCTACGCAATCTAGCCTATGAGCAATTTGAATCATACCCTCCCGGCCTCCTTCAACGTTGGTCAGAATAACTTCCAGAGTGCTGACAGAGAGCGAGACCAAGGACCGACGTGTTGAGCTCATTCTAAAACCTGCCTGCAACCCGACATTAGCTTCCCCTGTCTTTTTCTCCACTACGAGCTTTTCACAAGCTTTGCGATAAGCTTCAAAAGTCTGAATGTAGAGTCTATCCTTCTCTTTTTTAACAAACTCAGGGTCAGATAAGCCTGTTTCTACAAGCTTGTGAAGAGCACTGTTGTTCTTTTCATGCTCTTCTCCCTCTGACTGTGAATGCCTCTGTCCAATTTTACCACGCTCCTCAGAGACTTTGGCATCAAAGAGCTGCTCTCTGACTATCAGCTCACACACCTGCTCACGCAAAAGACGATGGTGCTCATCAAACCAACCTTGAATAGGCTCCTCCTCGATCTCAGCCACAACGTCTCGCATCACCAACTGCACTGCTCTCAACTGAGAGGATTTCACCTTCTTCGGTTTAGTATCTACATGAGCCGGCATTCCGGCCCCAATTCTATGTTTTTGTGCAGCCATAGCTAGTTTCAAGGCCCGAAGCTGATCCTCATACGCGTCTTCGATACCTCTTAATGGCAGGCGGAACGGCATAACTATTCGGGTGCCACTTGCTTGTATGATACAATCCCAGTAATTTAATATTCCAGCGCTGTTCCTCACAGTGTCATCATTGCAAGCACTTTTGTTTGCTAGTTCTGGCACGTATGGAATTCGAGATACCTGCAAGCGCTCACTGCTCAGCAGCAGAGCATTGTTAAGAAATAGCTTGGTCTGTTCAGCAAGTACACCGATTTGAGCATCTTCGGAGAATATTGACTGGATCTGTACCATCAATTCCGCTCCATCACCAATCTCACATGTGAATACTAAACCCTCAATGTCAATGGCCACCTCGACTTTGCCTTTACTCCGTTTGCTAGTGCTTTCAACACTAGAGGTTTTTCCTGGAACAAAATCTTCCTGTACACTGCTAAGGTTGTTTCTAAAGGACTTGCGCCAATCTAATAATCTCTTGAATTGAAGTCCAACTTCATGAAAGAACAAATGGACGTCAGGTTCCCACCTAGCTGCAATATCACTCACACTAACCAGAACACAATTGCCTTTCTCGGAACCCACTGCAGCCGGCTGGTAAAGGACCTCCATAATCTGGACACCAAATGCAGTAGTTTCAGCAAGAATTTTGTCCCTACTATCAAGCTCCTGGTACAGTAAATTCCCACGTTCAACTTTAACTTTGACACCTTTGGGCTCTTTATCAAAGCACAAGCTAAGACGTGTTAGTTCCAGACCAGCCTTGTATTTACTTCTAAGCCTACTCCCACGAGCAACACGTATCCAGGCTTTGCGATCAGAACCATCTTCCATCTTGGAAATAATTGTCTCCCCACCTTGAATACCATAATTCACCTTCTTTGGGTCTAGCAATTCCGCATCCACTGTATGCAAAGAACCCGTCAATTGAATGAGGAAACTTTCGAGACGCAATATGACTTTCCTTAATCCCGGCTTTTTGGCCTTTGAACTGCTGCTGCTCGAACTTTTGGGCTTTTTACCAGAGGTTAAAGATTTGAGATACCTCTCCATCACCATCCATGTGGAGAGAATGGACCGCACACGAGTTATACTAAGATAAATTTTACTTCCATGCGCTTCAAGAATTAAAGTCCGAATCTTGTTTGCTGGTTTGTCTTCCACTGACTCAGAGTCAATAAAAACCCATTCAACTACCACACGTGAAACTCGCATCAGACAGCCATTACAAGATTCACCTCCGGATACAGAGTCTTTTGAGGAACAATCTGTTTCCTCAGCCATCCCAAAAACACATTCTCTCATCTCTCCGTTCACCACCAACCCGTAGCCTGATCCTGAGTTCAAATCCAAATGTGAAGTTTGTGCATTTACCTGCACAATATTTCACATCAAACAAATGCAGTACCTGAGCAAAATTACATCCATACATAACAGTTATGGACCTCTACTAATGGCATACCCAGAAGCTCCAGCAAGTTAAGGTTACTACAATGTCAAAGATGCATTGAAATGATACCAATGCTCTCGACTTAATATTGCCGACATTTGTGTCAGATAACTTCAAACACAATATCCTACTCATGTATGTATATACATCTGTAAGCTCCAAACCGATTTCTGCAAAGCTATTTCACAGGCTAATAGCAATCATAGAAGAAACCAGACACTTGATTTCACCTAAGAACGATACTACAGACACCGTACATATTACTGAGAGGATACCACACAGAATTATTTTGGTATACTGCACTGAATAAGCTCATTGTCACGGGGTGGAAAGTACATACATTATAAAGAGGCATGCCATCTAGGCTATAAGCAACTAGTGTCAGCTCTGGCGCAGAAAAAGTGCAACCCCACGTCAACTTTCTCTTTTGTTTCTTTACAGTTACTGGTTTTGGTATAGGGTGATCACTTCCAGCTCCACTGTTTGGTTTCCTCAAAACCCTCATTATGAATTTTAGCCAGCAATCTAAGCTGGCTGTCATTAAACTGCATTGAGTGCCTCCCAACTGAACTTGTACGTCTGCATGCACAGGCTTGCTGGCCTGCAAACACGCAACCAAAACATTAGAGTTGAGTTACACTCATCCGGAAGGGTTTCCTTGGTACAAACATTAAATAAGAATAATCAAACAGAAAATACTGCACCTAATCCTAAACTGTACAAGACATAACAGAAGTTAGTGTCCTGATAGATACTCATTGAAAAGTTCTGACGAGACTAAAACGAAAACTTTCAATAGCGGATCGAACCCACATTACCACCAAAGACAGAACCTCACCTCAGCGGGAAACTCGAGAGATCCTCCTACTACCACCTTCAATATTTCAAGAAAAGATTGGTTGTTCTCCCGTAAGACCTGCGCCAGATTAACACACTATCGCTACTAAGAGTATTTTCAGAATTACTCACTTTACTAAACCTGCTACAATGTGCTCAACATTTGCAAATAAAGGTGAGAAACCACGTTGGTTTATAAAGTTTGATTCTTAAATTGATAAAAGACACAAATATCATTTTTTTTTTCTTTCAGAATCAAAACAACGGCAAATATGACAACATTTAAAATCTCATTCACCATGATTTCTCCACATTCCACGCCGACATCCAGCTGAGAAACAAGGTCTCCAGATGGTTCCGTTGGCTGAACCCTTTTACCCCGCATCTGAATGCCTGTCACTACATTCTCCAGCACTCCCTCTTTGTAACTGCACTTCAAACTCAACTTGGGCAGACAAAAACCGATCTTCACGACAAAAATCCTAAATCAGTATATCATTCCAGCATTTCACTAAGGAATACACGGAGACTATGCAGATAAAGGTTCCCCAGCCACTTCATGCAAGAAATTGTTATAAGAAGAGAGTAATACGATGTATTCTGACGCTAAACACGTAAAAGATTACGAAATAATGCTTAACCACTTGGGTGGGCTACAACGAGTTTTCCTAGGTCGAATGAAATTAAGTGTTCAAGAACTGGAACCCTACCTTCTTAGTCACTGCTAAATTGTGCTTTGAGATAGGTATAAGAGGTGCCACGTGTAGTACACGAGGCATCGGGTGTTACAAACCAAATCGACTTGTCAAATACAATATTTTAAAACAAAACGATGAATTGTGGTAACCAGACGGGCAACACACCTTTTCAGGAACCTTAAAAATACGTCCTTTGGGAGACTCGGCTGTCGCTACTGCGCTCACAGCAGCAGCTCCAGCCTCTAAAGTTGGTGAAATGTGCTCAGACCCAGAGGCCACTGCCGCAACAACAGCGGCAGCAGTGGCATCTGTCTCTAAGCTTGGGGTCGGCTGAGCAAGTTCAAGAGTTGAAGATTCTGGGACAGACACCCCATGCAATTCACTTGATTCCCGAGATTTTTTTGAGGCGTTGAGACTATTTAAAAGACCAGCTTCTCCTAATAGTATGTCCTCACTCAGATCGATTGAAACGTCGCCACACATTACATCCAGCTGTTGAAGCATAACTCCAGCTTCCCTGGGGAGACATAAAAGCATCTTAAAAGTTTCAATCTTCCCAATTCGACGTACATAATCAGTGTTCTAGTGAGAAATCATTTTCAGTAATCCGAGTGGCATACATACGTAAAGTGCACGCGCTTCTGCTTCACCAACTACAATGCTATGAAACTAAAAGTTCTATTCGCAACTGTACGCAGGAGCTTAAAAACCAGAGACAGAGTAACAACCGAATAGAAATATAAATATGCAAAAGATTAAAAGGTGTCACAAAGTCTTATATTCAGAATTTGGCACTTATAGATTCGCTTCAACAAAAAGGTAAAAGAGTTATCACCGATCAGAATGATCAACAAGTGTTAACATCAGAAGAACCACTTTACACAAATAGGTGTAAACAGGAAACAAGCTGGAAATAAGAGCTCTGCATAAAGCTTACGAAAGCATACCCGTCATGATCGAAGCTGCTGGATACAGTGAGATGATCCAATAAAAATAGTACACTTGGAATAGCATCAATAAGTTGTGCAGGAGGAGGTCGAGCGACGGAGAAGATACGCTGTCGAAAGCCAATCATCGGTCCAGAATTTTCGTACCTTGAGTGCCTTTCACCGAAATACATCATGAATGGTTTGATGGACAACTTAGCGCCCAACACTGTGGAAGCTAAATCCTGTTTGAACAAGTCTAACTCCAGGTCCTTGATTTCCAAGGACAATTTTGGAATCTGCTCATCATAAATTTGGCTTCAGATATGAAAACACGAAACCCAAAAGAAATAGATCACGTAAATGTGATATCACAGAACAAAAATTCGCAAAGCTTCCATTAGCATGAGGCTAGACTAACAAAATGGCTGTGCAATGGATACAGAGAGTGCACATTTAGATAAGTTGTTTCAGAACACAATCCGACAGTAACGTACGTGTTGGGCATGTGCTGACAACAAAGTAAAAAATAAACAAGAAGAATGCAAACCCTACCTCAGCAACCTTAAAAACAAGCTCCGTTAAAGACAATTTCAGATATTTTGCTAACTTGGCGGTCACGATCCACTTTCTGCGCTCGGAGACAGGATTTCTAATGCTTCGGGGTTTTTTTGACCTTTTCTTAGTTGTTCCCACACTCTTTTGCAAGATAACCTCCACATCCGAAATAAAGAGCTGAAATTTGAAATCTCGTAATAGCGCTGAAAGCTGCTTTCGAAAACTGATACGCACTTCCCCAATGGTCACAGACGCAATTGCCCCCTGCGCATATAATAATGGTTAGTAATCAACACTTCGTGAAGTTCATCAAGTGATTCTAAGCTATTGTAGTGATCATAAGAAAGGCGAAATGAAATCCAAAAACTCATCGCGATATTTACCTTTCGGAATTGAATGGATACGTCTTTGAGTCGTTGAAAACCAGCTAACCGGAAGCTTACTCGCGCACTGAGAACCCTGCTGGCTATCCATGCCAACAGCTTGGCAGTGAAACTTGAGAAAAGACAACAAACCCGTTTCAGAATAAATACTTCATATAATTCGAAACAAGGTAACCCTAAACACGAAGGAAACGATCATAGTACCGCGACTCGTCTCACTAATGTGCAGCAATACTCCACTCACAAAATACTGTCATGAATATCATGAAATCCTAACACTTCTGGAATAATTACATTTTCCTAGGTCTCCAAAAAAACGAAGATAAAAAATTTAAAATTAAAAAAAAAAAAAGGACATACGCACCAAATTTCTAATTTGTAAGAGGTTCCCCATACACACACACACACACACAAACACACACATATATATATATATATATATATATATCGAGAGAGAGAGAGAGAGAGAGAGAGACATACACACACGTTTAACTAAGCGTTTTTCAAGAATCAGCTCGAAGTTCCATTCTCACATCATTACGTGCGAAGATAACGGAGGTGAATTGAGCAGGAAAATTTGCTGCAAAATCTAATACTAACAATTCGAAGAAAAGAGGACAAGCATACGAAACAATACCGATGTTACTTAATCAACATAAACCCCACTACAAGGACTTCATAGCTTGCTTTAATTCCTACAATACCTTCATTCAGTTTTTACACACGAAAATTTTACAAGGCACAAACACTGCATGAAGCAGGCGATTGAATGATGCTTACTTGAAGACGAGCCATCCAACTGTGGTCACGGCTAGAAACAACCAAACAAATTTGTCAGGTGTAACCTCCATGAATCCAACACTTCAGAGGCGTACACGAGACCTCAGAGGGGAGAGTCACGGCCGCATTTAATAAATGCCTTCTGAATCTGTCCTTTGTAACACTAAAGGAGGGCAACGAAACGACTCATCAAAAACGTCTTTGCTGATAAAATTTCAGAACACTAAATCTTAGAAGCCATCCAACATCCCTGCGCGGAATTCTCCAACACCGATGGCTCGCCAACGCATAGCAATAGCTGTTGCTCAATCACTTCCACAACGCTATTAGAGAAGTTGTTCCTTCAACTACATTGCCTCCGGATTTTAAAACATCCTCAACCACTACCTTCAAAGAAACTCCCGCGCTGCACTTCTACATCCAATTCCAACCTCAATTCTTTCTGCGATCGTAGTACAAATCTGAAATAAAAATACGCGTCAAAACAGATTCCGCCACCCCACACTCAGAAAAACTCCAACGAAAGTGAAGCATTCTGTGCCACCACCATCATTTACGATTTCTTCCCAGATCTTATGACTGCCTCACCGCTCTCGCTGCTATTGCCAAAATTGTCGCATGCTGCTACCACGCTCCAGAACCCCTCACTCGAGACACACACTTCCAACTGAACACCAAAAACCCTTCCTCCGCGTCAACCATACATCCAATCCGTTTCGAAATTCACTCCAGCATCGGCGCCACACTCGCACAAGCTCTCGCTCTCTCTCTCTCGCTCGCTCTCTCTCTTCCCGCCTCACTGCGATCAACTACTACCTAATGCAACACATGCGGCAGTTCTCCACTGCACAGCAGCAGCAGGCGATGAGCAGCATTACTACATCTTCCCCATCCCTCAACCACTTAGCCCAGCGTCCTAGCCAACAAAGCTGCACTGCAATGATGATGATGCAAGCACGTGACCGCGGCGGTTAATCGCGGATCTGAGGGACAAGCCTCGGCTCGCAACCCCACTGACTGCAAAACGAATTTCGGATCGCGCTTCCTTGTGCCCTTCCTAGTTTCCCTGCCCTCGTTCAGGAAGGAAGGACGACGAGGAGCGCTCCCCCTCTGGTTTCCCTGTCCCGACCCGACCACCCCCCCCCCCCCCACCCCCAAGTAACCATCCACATCCATCCAACAAAACCACCACGAACTGCTTCCTCCTCCTCTTCTTTATCTTCTGTGTTGTTACCTCCATATCCGTGGACGAATGATGTTCATCATCCATTGCACCACCTAAATTGCGGATAAACTTCATTCATTCAGGGAGAGTACCCTGAATGTCATTCATCCTCGATCAGTGTCGAATGGACAGCGTAATAATAATAATAATAATTTTATTAAGCTAGAAGAATAATAAAATACCTTTAGGTTCTAGAGAAGCAGAGCGCCTGGGAGGGGAGAGTGAATGGAGGGAGGGGGAGAGAAGCACGCATGATCGATTGGGATAGATCTGGAAGCAGAAAAAGGGACTCTCTCTGTCTACATATACAATATTACTTCTCATAAGTTATGGGTCAATTCACCTCCGGAAACATAACTTATAGGAGGTTAAAACTTACCATGTTTAGCCCAAGTCATGCATCTGCTCAAGTGTCCACTAACCGCTAGTCTAGTGCTTTTCTTCTTTCATGCCCAATACCTACACTCCCCATATAATATTGTACTTCATCAACGCCCAGCGATTGCTGATCTACAAGTAGAGGGATCTGTAGCCTTTGATCTTGCACATGGATCTTATAAAGTGGACCAAAACCAAGTTTAAGCTTGCAAAAGCACCTTCACAAGTCACTATTAGCAAAATCTTGAAGAAATAGATGAGTACGAAGCCATGGACTAGGATTAGCTTCAAGCAGAGCGCCTAAGGGCATTTCACTTTCTTGACCTCAAGGAATCACTTGTTTTGTAGGTTTTGCAATGACATTCTCAAAATATGTTGTTGTTGGCAGAGCTCATTAAAGAGCACAATCAATACTTTGTAGAAATTCATGCAATTCCCAAAGACAAAATGGAATTTTCAAATGGTTAGTTTAATAAATTTCTCTCTTGCCACAAGGTGAAAGTGATCAAAATGCAAGAGGAGGCACATTTAGTTGATCAAGCTCGTATTGATACAACAATACCTGCTATGTGCACTTGCATTACGAGTTATGATTTGTGCAACATATACAATGTGGATGAAATGAGAGTATTTTACAATATGGTGCGAGACCAAATTGTCACTCAACAACAAATTATCGACTATAAGAAGGAAACTATATAGATCACCATTGCATTCACAACCAATGTTTATGGAATCTACAAATTGTCACCATTTTTTATCAACCATGGCCACAAGTCTCATACCCACAAGTCCCACTACTTCAATTGTTGTATAAGCAAATAGTTAGGTTTTTATTATCAATCCAACAAGAATGTATGAATGATTGGATTTTTTTTTTTTTTTTTTTTTTTTTTTCTATGAATGGCTTAAAAATCTTAACAAAGAGATGGCAAGGGTACATTGGCAAATTGTGCTCCTTATGGACAATGGACCATCAAATAGTATGAACAACCAAAATTCTCTTAATATGGATATCTCTGCACTTCTTCCAAATGTAAATTCAAAGATTCAAGGAATGGATGGTAGAATCATCGCAACATTCAAGTGACACTACTAGTGCTTCTATTTGTAAAATGTACTTGATTGAGACAAGCAAAATGAGATTAATTTATACAAGATTGATCAATTGATGGCAATGTAGTGGTCACTTACGACTTGGGCAAAAATATCTCCAACAACAATACAAAATTGTTTCTAGATTGTTTGAGGAAGCATTCAAAGTCTTAGAAATCAATGGTGAAGAAACAATTAAAGAGAAGTTGGTAGGTATAATTTGAGGTCTTTTATTATAGAATCCAATATCAATCAAAAACCTACTCAACCTAATCAAAGAAAATGATGTGCATATCGAGCTAAATGATCATGAAATTATTGAGCTTATTTGTCATCAATAAGCAAAGGGAGGCGAAGATGTTCATAATATCCTCAAAGAAGACTATGTGCCAATGTCATTTATGCATACGGAGAAGCTGCAGAGCCTTTTGTGGTTATCTCCATGCTCGACATTGGAAATGTAGGTGAATATGCTACTTGTAAGACCTTCACAACATTCAGCAAAAGTTGCATACAAAAGCCCTCTGGCAAAGCACCCTAGATTCCTGGCTAAGTTAGATTTTCTACAACTTGCACCCTCCACAAAGTTATAGTCTTTTGTTTTTTCCCTCCCCAGCCATAACTGATAACTTACAAGAATTATAACTTAACTGCAATGTAACCAAGTTGGTTCCTCAATTTTTCAAAACTTATCAAGGGTTATAACATATTTGGAGATAACTTAGGAGAAATAATATTGTATATAGATATGTAGAGATTTGGAGCCAAAGTGGTGCTCACTAGATATGGATAACAACAGTGGAGCACATGGGTGTGGGTATGTGTGTGTTTGTGTGTCTGTTACTATGTCGCCCTATTGTCATGCTTTGCTTTGTTCATCTAAAGAAAGGGCTTGCTGTCCCCCCCTCCTCTCCCCTACTCTCTTTGGCTCTTTTCACACCTAGGATTATTCCCCTTTCCACTCTTGTTGCAATTTGCACTTCATTTCAAATGTCCATCTTGAAATGTTCTTTTTGCAATGCACAAGTTAGTTAGCATAAAGGATATCTCATCTTTGAGTGATATTTTTCCAAAGTTTCTAGTTATTATTTGTGATAAATCAAGATTTAAATTACTCTCCTAGTTAAAGATAGTTATGAACTTTAGAAAAATTATGGTTGAACTTGTGTTTTGGATTCAAATTCAGTTTTTAAATTTTTTTTTTAGATGAAAATGCCTTGATGATAAATGTTTCACACACAATGGTAAAATTCATTATTTTGAATTAAATTTTTTAATATAAGACATTTTATTTGCATTTGTGCTCCTACATATTGGCAACACTTAAAAATATTATAAAAAGTTAATATATGAAGATTGTAAACTATGATGTTACTGTAATGAATTACAATCCTTAATATGCATGTGTTTGATGCTATTATAAAATTTGACAAACAAAATTTATGGATATGATATGTTTAGCCCTGTTACTATTTGTTGAGAGCTCAATAAATTTGTTGATACAAATAACTCAAAGATGTTGTGTTTCGACAATCAATTATTTAAAACGAGATGTTTTGAGTATTTAGTATATTTTGTTTATGATATTATTTTAAAAGACTTTTTTAACTTTAAAACTATTTCATGTTCTGTGTATGACTATGTATATAAGTTACGTGTTATTTTAATGTTTAATACACCCACAAACATTTATGACCTTCATAACCTTTAACAAATTTAGATCTTGTTGAAAATAAATAATAAATAAAATAGTGATTTACTAAAAGCATCAAATCACTCAAACAGTTGATCAAAATAATTGCTACGTCATTACTTTGTTCTGTTTGTGTTTTAGTTTGTATTTCAACTTTCCAAAACTCGTAATTTAGTAAAGCTCGAAGCACATCTGCTCCTAGTGTTGATGAGAGCATTAGCTGAGCGAGGAGACCCAGAGTCATTGGGGTCACTTCGACCACAATTGTTAAATGAAGCAGATCATGTGTGGGCTACAAAACGCGCTGAGGAAGATGAGCTTTGCTTGGAAACTGCGGTGATTGTTGACGATGTGTTTCCAGTTAGCCAAACATTTCCGTAACCGTTAAACCCACCTGGCTGTTTTATTTACTGTGAGCCAGTAAAAAACAGAATCAGATTTCATGACTGACATTAACAGCGGTTAGAAGAACCAGGTGTTAAAAAAATATGTCTGGATTGAAGAAAGGTGCCCCCTTGAGTGCGACGGTCAGTAAAATCATATACGTAACACTAAAAGCTAGTTCCATTAAATAAGCAAAAGAACATGAACTATCTAGCCCTAAACCTTGTCCTTCAACGTTAAAGCAATTTGCAACTATAATCCCGTCAGGGTGCTCCGTGATGTGCTTCTTCTTATCACTTAGCAACACAAGTCTTGGTGAACAAAAACTCTTGAACAAATTTATTAAATGCTTCTCGCACAAACGTCAAATAGACTTCCCAAATCCGCTACACGGGATTCCAACAAGCACCTTAAAGTTTACACCCTTCACTTCTCATATCCAGCTTCCTCTTCGATTCACATATGATACAAGTCCGGAGCCCCCAGAAGCTACAGAACACTCAATACTTGGCTGTCTATCTGCTCATTCTAAACCTTCCATATCCAACCAGCCTACTCTGAAGACCATTCAACACCACGGGCTGGGAAAAACACCTACTCACCTTCTCCACGTCCACACACAATGCCATCGACACATCATGTTTCTACCCAAATAAACTTGTCATTGGCTTATTCACCCACCCTTCTCTCTCCTTGCTTTGAACCACTGAAACCTACCCAAATCGGATCTTCGCAACCGTGAAAAATTTCCGCTTCCTACTACTTTTACATAAAATTTCGCTCCTGTTCCCTCTCTCCGCTCTTAGTGCGGGAAAAACTTCATCGCTCTAAACACCCTACGTCTCCGTTCCACACGTAAAAACGTACTCCGGCAAGGACACGACCTAGTCATCGATGTGATGAATCTCCCCCATCATGATGCGGTTGCTCGTCACGCTGAACCCCAGCAACGATGGATCCACTATCTTCTTCCCTTTCTTGTTCTTCTTTTTTCCACTCCCTAGACTTGCGGTGCTCTCGGACTCCCCTGAGCCCATGTCTTCCTTCAGTAAGCGGGCCATATCTACCGTCCCGGATTTGCTCCTATCCATTTTCTTCCCATTTGAACCATAAAAGACAGCTGCGTCTTCGCGGTCGCTGGAAGACACGTTAACATCGGACGGTAATGCCTTCACTTCAGCACTCGCTGCAAAACCACGCACACAAAATCAGGATCAACAATCATATACTGTACTAACAATATGCAAACCTCACCACAGATCATCCATTGTCCAACATCTTGTCACCAAACTCCGAACCCATTCAAACTCTTATACTACCCTAAATCAACAACCAACAAACCGACTTCTAGAAGATACCATATCTATCGCCCCCTCAATTACCACAACCCGCAAAGAACATCAAATTTGCAGAATCCAAAATATACCATTGCACCAAACCAGTGTCCCTGTAATTTATGCTACTCAAACCATGCATCTTCACAATACCTTTATTACTTGCTTGCTTCTTCCCTTTCGTTGCAGCAACTTTCACGGATACTGTCGTCGCACTCAAAGATGGAAACTCTGTCGGACTTGCTCTCGTCACTGCCACCGGGGCTGCCACCTGACGGAGCACTGAAGCCGCTGCTACGGTTGCTGCGGGTTTCGAGACTACGCCTTTGTTTGCCTGTCCTTGTCCAGGTCCATGCAAAAGCGACGGAAAATCCAATCTGCACATATCACAAATGTTGAAATCATACACTAACTTCAGTGTAGCATCCACAAACCTGGTTCTCGACAACAAACGGTACACCATGACAATACCTGGCACTCTGCTATCACACATTCCATATGCTATTTCACAATCACATGCGACCACAAACAACAAAATTGTCAACTTACGGCTCAGATTTTGCGATCTGTTTCACAGCTCCCATGCTGATCTTCGCATCCTGGCCGTAATCCCAGAACAGATCATCATCTTCGAACACACCCACCTTCGACCAAGAACTGCCACTGCCACTGCTTGCCGGAATCTTCGTCGGTTGCCCACTCGCCACCGCAAGCGCTGATGAGTTCGTCACTCCAGGGCGCTGCCATGCAGCACCCCCACTTACGGTTCTCGTCATTAAAGTGACGGGTTTCGCTGATGGAGGGGGTGTGTTCTTCTGAACCAGTGTTGCTTGAAGCATCTGGTTCTGTCTCTCCTGCTCCTCGCGAGCTTTCTTCTCCGCCTCTTGAATTTCCTTCAGAGACAAAATTTTTCCTAATTTCGCTTGCTGAGCCGGGGTTGATGACCACGCCGGAAGAGGCTGCGAACTGACCGCGGGTTCGCTTCCCAGGTTCAGGAAATCCGCTAGCGACGGCCCTGGAGGTGGGGCTGGAAACGACTCTTCCGCTGACTCCACCTGAGCCGACCGCGAAACTGTGCTCTTGCTGGATGTCAGTGGAGACGGCACCTGCAATACATCGCTTGTTGTTGCACCACCCGCCGGCTTTACAGGAGTCGTGCGATTTGACTTGGCTGCCCGCTTCTTGCTCTTCTTCGATTCCTTGGGTTCAATAAAGTCACTGTCATCAAGCCCAACAGTACTTTGCGTCGATGCTTGACTAGATTGACTCACTGACACCTCCTTCACAATGCTAGCCTCCACTCCGCTGCCTTTCCTGCTAACCTGGACAACGATATTTTCATCGCCTCCTTCGAACGACGAGCTAACCTTCTCGGTGTTAGCAGACACCGCTCCCCATGCTGGGGGATCCACTACTCGGCCAACAGGAACCTTTTGAGCAGATGTTGCAACATTCAATTGAGCATTTCCAGCCTTCTGAGATGCCTCCAGAACAGCGGCAGCCTTTTGGGCCTCCTCCTCCTGAACATCTCGCAAGGACTTAGGTTGGGGAACCGACGGTCCGGCCCATGGCCCCAATCCGGTACCTGCACTAGACGGAGACTGCCCTGCCGACTCTATTGTCGCCTGCTCTACAGCCTTCCTGCTTGCGGCTTCCTCTTCCTGGATCTCCGCAAGAGACTTCACTTTCGGGGCCGTGGCAGCTTTCCACCCAGGCTGAATCAACGCTGCCGCTGATCCAGCCCGACTTTTACTCTCCATTGATTGTACGTTCGCTGGTAGCTCGGTCGAATGCAGGTTCGACAAACTCCAATTCCCCAGCAGGTGTGAAGCCTGAGATGAAGTGCCGGTAGCAGATGATCCCGAGGTTTCTGCTCCACTCGGTGTAGTCGCGATGGGGACATGCTCCGACATCAACGTCCCGCTGAGAGAACCGCCATGTAATTGTAGCTCTGTGCTGGCATAATCCTGGCTCTCCTGACCCCATAATCCCAGAGACGGGGCAAACATACTCCTTTCGTGCACCACCTCCTGCTTCTGAGCACCCTCGTTGCTGATGACTGGCCATCTTAAACCAGGCAAGACGTCACTCTTTGCTGGAGCATCCAGTTGACCAGTCGTTTTCGTTTCCCCGCACTTCGGCCGACTCTCCAATCCCTCCAATCCCAGTGCTCGAGCCGCAGCTGCAGCTTCCACTTGCTGCTGCCTCTCTTGAACCTGTTGTAGGTCTAATGCGTCCCGTCGGAAACGTTCCAGATCCGAAAGCTCACCATAACCTACAAAATCTCGAGACTCCGCTCTAGTAGACTGCTGCTGTTCCTGAACTTGATTTACCATCTCGCCTTCCATGCCTGACATACTGCGCTCTCTGCGTATCAAATTTGGGTCGTACATGTTCATCGGCACACGAGAATCAATAATCCCAGAATCCAGAAGTGACGACCGGTCAAATCTAAACATAACTTGAGACTCTTGCTGCATTGACCCTGAAAAATTCGGCTGACTCGGCAGCCTTTGGTGTTGCTGCTGTTGATGCTGGAAGGCATCGAATGATCGCATTGGAGCGGGCAATTGCGAACGCTTCACGAACTGTCCAAACTCGTCCACTTCCCACACACCAGAAACTCGCATGTCTTCCAAAGTTTGATGCGGTTGGGGCACCGGCAATCCAAATTGCAGCAACTGATGACATAACACTGTTATCAGACGGACCCGATGTGCTCACCACGAAATGCAAACTCGCCACCTGGCTACTCAAACTCATCGACTACTCATCAAATATTACTGTCAAATAAATGCTATCATCCTAACTTACAGTTGGAACCTTTCGCACTGCCAGCAAACATATCCAAAAGGGCATCTCATGTGCCATCAAATAAAACATAAAACTCATACCTGTTGCTGCTGCTCCTCCTGCAGCCGCTGGCGTATCAGCTGCTCGAACGATGGACTGCTCGAATGGTTTTGTCGGGCCAAAAGAAGCTGTTCAAACTCCCTGCTTGACAAGTGCTGACCAGATGTATCATGCAATCGTGGGTCCTGGGGCTGCCGACCAAGAACAAGCTGATCTGCAAGTCCTGAGCTCTGACGATGCATGTGGTTAAAGTGTGTAGGTGGGGGCATAGACTGGTTCCGCAGTAACTGCTCAATCAGCACCTGCACCATCAACAACGTAATAATAAGATACTGTAACTGCATTCATACTCCATCAACTCATAAAAAGTCAAAAAGAGAATACACACTTCAGAGCCTTCCAAGAACGACCAAACCACACTGCACACAAGGGCATTCATTTCAAAGGCACTCTTTCAGTGAAGTGGCCTAAGTGTCTGTTGAAAAGCAATTATACAATTTCCGTTCACTATTCCATCCACATCAGTGCATGGCATCGAAAGAGCACACAAATAGAGTAATATCAACTGCACCCGTAATTATCACCTCATATCTACTACGATTGTATACCTGCGTTGGCAGCTGTTGCTGTTGCTGTTGCTGCTGCTGCATGCGTAAAAGCTGCTCCAGCACAGGACCCGACGGTGGAATTGGGACAGGTGCCTGATGTGGCTGAGGAGGCATCTGAGAAAGCAAAGGGTTCAGTACTTGGTGATCGCGAGAAGGGAGACCCCCGGGCCGCATCAGCTGCTCCACATTGATGCGTGAAGAGTGTGGCGAAGGGGGTACACCAGACAACTGCCTCTGTAATGCTGAACCTGACGAACCCATTCTCTGCAAGTGCTGGATCTCCAGTTGCTCCAGTTGCTGAGCCAGGTGTGTAGGATCTATACCACTTCCAGAGGGAGGAAGCCCCACGTTAGGATATGGTACGTCCAGTGACAAATTTCGCAATAGTGTGTCTGTCCATGGATGATCAAGCTGCCCCAGATGACTGTGTCCGCTCTGCAACATGGGTGCAGAAAACAATGGTTGACCTGCCAACATAACAACATATTCAGGTACTAGTCTCGTTCCGCTTTCTAGACCAGGGTAGGAAATAACAGAATTAAAGACTACCACAGCTATGTCCAGCAACACATGATATCCTAAGTTTCACAACTCATTCACTGCACATCTACTCCCGACAAGGGCATGTGCAGACTCTTTCGCATGCAACGAAGATGAGCCAAAATGATGAAATAATTTCCAGGTTGCTTAATCTGTGACACCCATATGAAATCGAAACTACCAAAATTAATCGCTGCCCCACGACGTCCGAACGACGCAGGGTACCAGCAATTTTCCGATCAACTAAACCAGGGGCAGATACTTGGAAATGTACCATCCCATGTATATACAAATACCTGACAACGAGTTGGATCCCTCATTTTGAGGAAACAGAGTGGGCAATCCCATATTCCCAGATTCCGACATGCCTGTGTCCGCTCGAGGGAATGCTGACATCCGCTTCAGCGTGGAATACGATTGGTCGCTTGCCTCCTCGGCTTTTGCTCCGAACTCCTTGTCACCTTTTCCATAATGCCTATCCGCTGGCATTTCTAGCATCACAACACCCACGCTGAGGCCGCATGCCAAAAACCAAGAAGAACCTCCATAATTTAAGCCAATCACAAACACTACGATATTCCCATGTACACAAAGTATCAACGACTAAACTCAAAGCACTTGCTGACTTCTACGTGCACTCAGTCCCTCAATACTGCTCATCTATGCCAAAACAGTCCCAAAACTGGATCCTTTAATGACGTTATCCCAAACCGTCCACGCTTACCAGGTTTGCTGCTTGCTGTTCTGTCGCTCATCCTGAGCTGGAACTCATTACGAAGCATGCTCTTCGAACCACCAGTCAAACCCAAGAGCTCCATGTCCAAAGATGGGTCGAAAATTCCTCTATGTTCCATTTCGTTCTTGGTCCCTAAAGATTCCTGTTGTCGGTAGCTAATGCTTGATAAATATTCTTCATCTTTCAGATGAGTCGACTCGACACTTTCATCTGACTGTTTTGATGCGCTGGTGAAACCAGGTGGTACTTTCACTGCCGACTGCAAGTGTGGCATTATATTTTCCAGTGCAGTAAATGGAGTACCTTCTGGAGCATCCATCAGACGTACAGGCAAGTCTAGCCCGAAAAAACCAGCCTCGAACCACCCAATGATGTCCACACCATAAAATGGTCCTTGTACTTCTCCCTGAGGATCCGTGTAAAGTAGGCAAAGCTCTTCGGGGGCTACTTGATGAATGGAAGTCTCTGGGTTAAATCCCGCTTCTGTAGGCCTGGTCACATAGCTCTCCTTGGGCACATGAACTTCGCGGCCAGAGCTTTGCTCCTCATATCCTCCAAGTTTTGGACCAAGAGACGTCGCGTCTTTCATCACCGAGTCGCCTTCTTGATCGCTTCTTTTGGCTGCATTTTCATGTACAGATTCCTTCGCTGACACGTCACGTTCCAACTCCGAATAATCCTGCAATCGCCATTGCAACAGATTCTCAGATCTGAGAGAAAAATGTCCACTTCTGCAACGACCCGATTGGTTCTGAAAGCAACTTATCAGTGATTCAAAACACAAACAGGCATCTCATCCCGAAGGTTTACACACGCATTACTATACCAAAAAACTTTAAACCAACAGCACCTGCTCATTCCGTCGCCAGCTGCTATGTTCCTCCCTCTCGTACGTCCGCTCTTGCCTTTCCATCTTATTGTCCTTGGTCGCCCCTAGGTCTTCGTCACCTGCTTTCGACTTCCGCCAGGTACCATCACTACGAGCACCACCATCACGCCTCCAACTTCCATCATCTCGCACGGAACCTCCTTCCTCGCCTGTATTTCCACGCCTCCATGTATTCTCCTCTTTCACAAGAGGACCTGCAGCAAACACGCTTCCGTATCATTAGAAATAACACCAAACGAATTAAAAAATCCAGAAACAGACACGTGGACCGATATGTGTGCACCTCCGGTCCCGCCTAAGTCGCAACCTCGCTAATCGCATCGAAATCATTAAGTCCCAAAAATCAGGGCCAAGAAAATTGTACTAATGGAGTAAACTCACCAATTCCTTCACACCATACAAAAAAACCATCCAATTCACTTCGCTTACCTTCATTAACAGCACCGCTCTCAGCACGTGCACGCGATTCCCCAAGCTCCTCTGCATCTGCAAATCGTGCCTCAGCGAATTTGTCTATAGCGCCGCGGTCCCCGCCTCGCGTGATTCCGAATCCAGGTTGGTCAAAGAAGTCGTCATCTCTATGACCATCGAACCCGGAGTCTTCTTTACCCCCTGCTCCGCCCAAAACCAGCAACAAATCAAAAAGGTCAATAGGCTGTCGACTAACTCGAGGAGTGCCGTGAACCCTTGACAACAACGCAAAAAACAGAATACACACGGAAGTCCAAAACACATTCTTTTAAACTACAATCCATCTGCACACCAGATTTTCCTTGCAAGGCATCCATCGACACGAAAGAAATTAAAATTAAAAAAAAAAAAAAAAAAAAAAAAAAAAGGCCACGACCAATCATTGCAATGCTGCAACCCATCCAAGTTGTCACAAACATAGACACGTACCTGTACCTCTTCCCATCCCCCGACCCCGACCCCGGCCCCGACCAAGAGAGTCCTGCCTCATCCCTCTATTCATAGAAGCCTCCTTTGGAGCCGAATTGTGCACGACACCGCTGCTCACTATCTCCCCCTTGCGTATGCCCTCCAGAACAACCTGAAACGCCACACACACACACACCAAGTCAACTTTTAGCGGGACAATTACCCCCCAAATCTCACGAGTAGGACACCCAATATCGCTGATCCAAAGAATTCCATACTCACACTGAACAGATTCCGCAATCTGATTGCTTCAACAACAACTACCATACATGACCTTCCAGGCATGGAAGCCACAAGCAGCACGTACACTCTCCACTGACGAGAACTTTTCACCCAGTCCACAAAACCAAATTTAGCTGACTCCATCCTCTCCACCATTCGATCATACAATACCGAGAAAAATGAAGTAATGAGCAATGCAACAAACCTCTTCCTCCGCGTCGGGTTGGAAAAAAGCCATAGGCTCCAAGGGATCGCTCTGAGTTAACTGCGGCACTTCAGTGAAGCCATTGGGATATCTTTGAAAAGACGATATGCCGCACTTGCGATGAATGTCCAACAGCTTCACACGGGGATATCGGAAAACGTTCTCTTTCCCGACATCCCATTTATCTACAAGAAATGGAGAACCGATCGGGCTAAATGGAGGACCATGAAGAAGCCCTGATTGCAGATTACCACGACCACGCCCCACTGTGAAACCCACGCCGAACGGTTCACCCCTGCCTCTGCCAGTCATAAATCCGGGAGCCATCTTGGGAGGGGTGCTACTCAGGTGAGGAGTTTCACCTCTTCCTCGCATAGCAAATGAAGGACGCCAAGCTCGATCGTGACGAGCCATATCTGGTTCCCTCTCCCTCTCCCGATCTCTTTCCCTCTCTCTATCCCGCCCACTTTCTCGGTCGGCATCTCTCATCACGTTGTGAGTATTTGTGGCGTGACGCTGAGAGTATCCACCGCCATCGACCCCTTCTTTGCTCATCTCCTTGTCCACCCCGTCCCCACCCCATTTACCACGAAATTCTCTATCCTTCTCATCCGGACCCCACCGATTGCTCCATTTGCTATCGCGACGGCTATCTAAATTGGAATCCCGGTTCGGTGTATCTGCCCACCGATCTGAAGGAACTCGCCTCAGTGGTTCCCCGGACTCCCTCCCGCTAACCGCATTCATGTCTGACCATCTCTCATTCACGGCTCGGCGGTTTTGCATCTGAGGGGCTTGGTCCCCAACCGTATCCCTTTCTCCTTCTTTCCATCGATCTCGACGAGGAGCCAAATTAATACTGCTTTCTCTCTCTTCCTCCCTCCATCGCTCTCTCCGGCTGCCATCCGTATCGCGCTCCAAAGATATTGTGCGCCACCAGTCTCTACCTCTCTTCGGGTCCTGAGGACCTCCTTCTAGATTGCGCCACCGATCTTTGCCCGAAGCATCGTTCATTCCATTACCTGGAGTAGAAATTCCAGTACCGCGGGGAGGATCCTGAGGATAAAATCACGCAACTTTATCATCTCGAAGACATAAGCTCCAGTAAAGACTGCGCATTTAATTGAAAAAAAATCAACCAATTAAGTGCATAAAAACGAACAAGTCCAACCTAAAATGCGCTCATACTCCCGTGCACAAATTTTTAAATTTTTAAATACCCTCCGCACATTGGCATCAGTCATCCAATCCACGAGCCTGGCTCTTCAAACGCCAACAAGACGAGCGTAGAGAGCAGTACCTGACGCTAAGATGCAAGTATACGCAAAATTGCTTCAAAAGATCGAGAAAGATGTATACAAAAGGGACGGCATTCCATACCCCGGATGAAGCTGCTGGTTTACTCTCTCCAGGTTTCGATAACAGCCACTGTGGTGTTAGTGGAATTATGTTTTCCGAATTCCCAGAATCTGCAACCACACGAATAATCTCAAATCATGGCTCAATTCCTCCAATATGATGCTAAGCAGCCCAGGCAGGTAAGAAAATGAGATACAGGATTTCGTTATCAATTACCTTTAGAATCTGACTCAACAGATCCAGAAACCAGCTTCGACGTGCCTAAAGTCCCACTCCCTTCATCTGCACATTCGAGTGTGCGACTACCGGTGTTAGGTAACAACTAGCTAGATCGAAAGAATAATACTTCCGTGTAAAACATAGACTACGGCCTGAGAAAATTTCATTACTGCTTTAGAAACAGTCACCTTCAACGGCCATGAGAGAAACTTCTGGGCACAGTGTAGAATAGTCACAATTACAGGCCTCACTACAACAATAAAATATTAACAGCACACGCAAATTATCATACGTTCTGAAAGAAAGGTAAACCTTCGAACATTGGGCCAGATGGACACACGGGAAAACAGGAAAAAGAGAGGGAGGGATGAAAGTAAGAGAAAACGGAATAGGGAGGGAAAATTGATGACAGCTAAAGGACAGTATGGGCGCAGCTCAGTACACAGGGGACTGAACTCTACTCACTCGGCAGAAATAGGTCGCGTATGAGGCCAACGAATACGAGAAAGCAAAACCCTGATACCATAAACGTGGCTTTACAACTGGCCAAACAAATAGGGTTTACTCAGGACTCACACTGAGACCGCAATCAAATACTTAGACCGTTCAACGAGACGACAAAAATTCCACAGGAATGTAAGGTAACATAAAACCCTGACTGAATCAAGTCAAAAAATGAGGGAACACGAGCGCACCAGCCGATGAACAAACAATTTAAAAGCTCGACATTCATCAAATGAGTACAAATGCAATCCGAGTCTATAGATGACGGCGGTGATAGAGATAAGCCAAATACCGAAGCTATACAGAAACAACGATATATCCACAGGTAGAAAATGAATAAAGAGCCGGAGCTACCGACATCTTGCTCCCTCAATCTAGCAATCGCCAATTTCTTTCTACACAAGGGCGGCGTCAGTTGAATGACACTAACTGACCACCAAACTAGCGCATAATCTGCATTGAAGTGAACGAGGTCGGCCACGGACCACATCGATACCAGCACCTTTACGTTAAGCGCAGAGCCAAAAGAAAAGCCGACTACGAATCACGCAATAAACACGCCTCAAAGTAAGGCCAAAAAAGAGTTCGCAAAACTGATCAGCACTTCGTGCTCTTGCGCCGCACAGGAACGAGCGGACAGAGCCAGTTTCTGAACACTTGAGACTAGATTACCATTCGAGAACGCCACCTTCTTCGTCCAGCCAGTTTTGAACCTTCCAGAGACGGAACACCAGTAACGACTCGGGCAACAGAGAGAAACAAACTAAAAATATATACATACAAATATCCAACCTCGCATTCTTGACTGCTCCGAACGCAACGAGCTTCCCCCGTCGCCGCCGCCCTCCATGACGTCGCTAGGGTAGCTCTTGCTGTCCGCCATAGTTGCTCCTCGGGCACGCTAATAAAAAAACTGCCGCCCTCAAACCACCACCACTACCACCACCTCTAAACCTCCGGAAGCGAGGGCAGGCAGAGGATGCCGCGATTATTCCTGTACACTCTCGTCGGCGGACAGAAACCGGCGACGATTCAAAACTGTAAGATAGTGTCGAGAAAGGCAAATAGGGATAGGGATTGAGGAAGAAGAGGAGAAAGGCTTGAGTAGCAGCGACAACTAGAGGGAGGCGGGAGCAGATAGAAACTTGATAGGAGAATCGTGCGACAAAATTCCTCCCAAGTAGGACTCCAAGACTAGAAAAAACAACATCCCCCCCCCCCCCTCTCTCGTTCGCCGCTCGCCGTGGCGTTTGTTTGATTTCCCCGCCTCGCCCATTACCCGGACCCTACCGTGATAATAACCTGACCTTCACCCTTCTATTGCCCGGGGGTCATCCTGTTTAAGTTCCATTCCGGTCCTGTATTTGACCCCCTCCCGGGTATTAACTTTGCAAAGCAGTTTTTCATCCATAGTTCGTTCGCTCGTTCGTTCGTTCGAGTCCTCCGTTTTCTGAATTGTTCGATTTCTGGTACTTTAATAAAGAGTTGCCTTTTTAACTACTTCGCGTTGCTTTATATGGATGTTGCAAAATCAACACAATTTTTTTTTTTGCTTTCAGAGTGTATTTTCATCAAGGGATGGAAAGTCTCTAGCAGATCTTTCATAAACCTGTCATAAATTAACATGTGAATTTTTTTGGGTTTGGTTGTGAAAGTTTGGTGAAGAAAGATGATTTTTCTTCTTTTTTTCCTTTTTTTAGCTTTTTCTTTTTCTTTTTCTTTTTCAGGGGTCGGTTTGCACCGACAATTATTACAGTAGTTTGTAAAAGGAACATTGTTGTGGAAATTTTATGAAGAAATCATGAATTCTGTAAAAAAAATATATTTGATTGGCAGAAACTGTGGTTTTAAAAAAACTTACAATTGTGTTAAGACAAGTATATTCTATCAATAGGTGTGAAATTCTGAAATTTAGCAGAAGCACCGATTATTTGACAACATGCATGCCTTGTCATAGTAAAATTTGAGTACAAAACACATATCTTTACATATATATATATATATATATATATATATAAAAGAAATATTGGCCATTTTCACTATTAAAAATCTTCCACCATAACCTGAGAGGGGTTTAGGCAAATTCGTGACATAGCACATACTGATTGTAATATTAGAATGTTAACAGATAATAATAATAATAATTATTATTATTATTATTGTTTTTTGAACTCTAACTTGTCCTGTTTTCTTGATTTTTTGTATGTAATAGAAATCTACTTTTAATGGTTTGAAGATGTAATTTTTTTTTCTTTTACTTTTACGTTTCATTATCATAGTCAATAAGGAACCAACCAGTAAAGACCAAATTGAATTTGACGAAGCAATTCATTGAAACAAACTAATCACAAAAAAATCAAAAGAAACTGAAAAAGAATCCAATTGTGCCTATTTGAATAATAATAATAATAATAATACAGATACTGACAAACAGAAAAAATCCATCAGTTTGTTATGAATATGAATATGTTTTCAATTTATTGTACAAAATTTGCAACATTGAGTGTGTAAAGCTGAGTTTTATATGATAATTCATTTAGAAAAGAAATTGTGTAAATGGTAGACAACCAAATGTGTTCAAGGTTTAAATGAAAGAATACAAATTGAAAACTCTATACACATATAAATAATGAACAAATTTAATCCAGAAGATCTAAAATACTGTACATGCTAAAGTAATATAACAATAACTTAACTCTAAAAAATATGTATTTATTTTTTCAAATAACTAGTACTTAAAAACAATAATATAAATAATAAGTCATGGTTCAAGAAAATTTTAGAAAAATGATATATATTATGAATTTTAGGTAATTCGTGGAAATATAAAATTGATGAAATTTAATAATATATATATATATATATATATATTAAATATAGATACTTTTATGTTGAAATAGAAAAGAATGCAAATCATTAGAAAATGTAATAAAATTACATCTCTAATCTATTTTTTTGATATGTGTGTGTTTTTATTTTTATTTTAATCTCAATAAAAAAAATCAGTAAAAGGAATTCAATACCACTGAAAAAATATGAAACTCTCCGTTTTGCTAGATCTGTTCATTTTTTATTTTTTATTTTTTATTTAAAAACATTTGTGGTAGTTCGGACTCCTACATGTTAACCTTGCAACCTCTGAAACTCTTAATAAATTAAAATCGAATATAACATAAAAAAAATCTTTGAAAAAATTTACAAGGAGTGGAATTTTGCTGATCTTGTTGTATATTATGTGAATTGATTTTATGAATGAATCAAAAGACCAATCTTATCCAACACATCATGTTCTAAAATTTTGTGAGGGCTTGTTTTATAACCTAGTTGTACAATATAACAATTATATAAAATATATTATTTCATTTATTGTTATTAATCTACAACTCTATATAAAAAATGTTTACGACTTGTTTTAACATTATTATTTTTTACTTTACTTTTGATTTTATATTACTTATATTTTTAAATGTATTTTTTTTCTTTTTAAAATGAATTGTGTTGATTGGGTCTTAATGCTCAACCTAGTCCTCATCTTAATCTAGGTTCTTGTCAATATTGCATCATATATGTTCTTAACTGTAGATTAAAAATCTTACAAGAGATAGATTATTTGTGGTTTTGGATTATTATTAATCTCCAATGTTTCTTTGTTGTAGGTTATCAATTTAGTTGTCTTTGTATTTTTTTGCTATTGCAGTAGAATACCAAACATGTTTTCTTACATTCTTCTTTATAAAGAAATATATATATATATATATATATATATATATATACATACATTGTATATTTTTTTCAGTGTTGTGTTTCATCTTCAATAAAACTGTAAATACAAAACTGTAAATACATTTAGTAATTGTTCAATTTTAAAATTTTAAAAATTTGTTGTATATACTTCTATTTCTTTTTTTCTTTTTTCTTTTTTTATTGTAAAAAAGCTTCCTGACATTTCAATACCATGCTGAAAAGCTTATTTGTGTATAGTACACAAGCTTTTGGCCAAATTATTTCATTCAAAAATTTTCTTTTTTTTATTTTAAAAATTATTAAAAAAATTATCTAAATTTTCATTAAAAAAATCCTTTAAAAAATAAAATTTAAGAAAAAATATTTAGAAGAACATTCTAAATTAATTTTTAACTGGTTATTTTGGATGGTATTTCATATAAATTTTTATTTATAGAATTCATGATAAATTACAATAGATGGTTATTATATTTTTAAAACTTTTGTTTATATAAGTTTAACATTATTTATATAAGATTAATATTGATTTCACGTAATGTGACATTGAGTGCCAAATCATGTTGGATGAATGTAATATAATTTAAATTGAAATATTTTCATCTACTAAGTATATTATGTTAGTTGACTTTGTTGGAATCAAATAGGTTTTGACTTGGTTAGAAAAATCCCTTTGATTCAATATTCTTCTTAAGTCAAATCTTGTGAATGGTTTTTAAGAGAAAAAACTTGTGTTTGTAATATTTTACTTAACTGTAGTGATTTAGCCATTTGGTAAAGTTTCAAGGTTTTTTCTTTATACTTGCAGCCTTAGATTCCTTCTTTATAGTATGAGAAGTAGCTTAACTAGGTTGTATTTAGATTTTCAATCTTTCACTGAACAAGAATATTATCTCTTTTTTAATTTTGTAGTATCTTATATATACATATAATCTTTTGAGATATTATTTTATAGGTTTTTATTGTATTATTGCCTTCTTAGATGTTAAACACTATTGGATAACTATGCTCCAATATATTATATAACAACACTATATTCTTGCCACAATGTGATATTGCTAGAAAATTAGAAGTTATTGGAGATTGCAATTAGATATTGCAATTGAATTGTGGTATAGCATAAAGACTTGGTCATAATACAAGGTTATATTGAGGCGCCAAGATGAAGTATGATGCCAAAGACATGTGTGAGTGTAAATTACACTCCACAACCTCAATTACATGATTGCTTCAATTAAGAGTTGCTTGTAATTGGTGGTGTGAAGTGAAGTAAGCAATTGGCAAAAGACCAAGGAGGAATAACCACAATACAAGTAAAAGAGATGAAATCAAGTAATCACAACATCCAAAACGAAGTCACAATTCGTTCATTGGATTTTCTCCTAGTAAAAAGTAAAAGTAAAAAATAAAAGTATATTTTTAGATAGATAATTTTTTATCTTTCCAATGACATAAAAATCATGTAATTCCAAGTTACTATGAGTAAATTATGATAGATTAAAGATAGAATGTAAATAATAGAAAAGTTAAGTGAATAATTTTTACCTCAATGATAACTTGCTTAAGTAACCTGGTCTTGAAATTTTCTCTAAAAATTCATAAAAAATTCTAAATAAATTCTAAATAAGTTCTAAAAAATCTTATAATATTTCTATAATACTAATATCCATATGAAGCTGTATTTTTCTATCTTTGTGATTTTTTATAGTAATAAAATCAATTTAAATCTGCTAAAAATCCTATTTTTTATATAATTAACTAAAAAGACATGAAGCTCTTTTTCATGCTTCTTCTAACTACTAACTAATCATTGATAGGATTTAATAAGTAATACATGTAGATAAGAGCCAATGAAGATATTGATTTCAATAACTAACTCTTAATACTTAACAATAAGAAAAATACTAAACTAATTAAGATAATTGCCTCCAAGACTTACTAAGATTCTATTTTTATAACTTTTATTCTAAGAATACTTTTGCAACTTATAAATACTTCTAAATTATAATAAATATTTGAATAGTAAAAATAAAACTCTCTATTCTTAACATTTGTATAATTGAATGACTTAAAATTATATTTTTAACTAATCTACTAATTAAGATCAATTTTTGGGACTCACAACATGGTGCAATACATAGATATTATTATGTTTTTAGTTTAGTTGCAGTATTATTATAAAGTGGCATTAGAAGATGTGGTATTGGAATCCATTAAAGCTAATGCGATAAAGACATTAAGTTACAATATTGAAGAACTTATGCAATGTCAATTGTAATTGTTATTTTTATTTTATTTTATTTTTATTTTATTTTTATTATAAATTGATGAAATGTGGTAATAGAAAATTATATAGATTACAAGGTGAGGATAAATATTAAAAACATCTTTAGGGCCAAGTTCATATAATAGTTGAGATCACAAAAAGATTTTGTGGATAATTTAGATCATCAATATGTAGATTTGCTTGC